AGTGTCGCTGTCAAAAGTCGGCAGCCCAGCTTTACGGTCCTGTTCTTTGCGCATTCTCTCCGGGAGCTTCTCCAGTGTCTGGTTAAGTTTTATGAGAAGTTTTTCCATCTGGGTCTGCTGGGCTGGTTGACCGCTTTGCCTTGTGCTTCCTATCATCTGCAGATAGAAGTCTTTGACGTCCTCCATGATCTGAGTCAGTCCCAGCCAGGCGAAAAGACCCGAGTTCTTTTTCTTCTTCTGCTTCTCTTCCTCTTCTCTCTTCTTCCGTTCTTCGTCCGCGATTTTCTGGCGACGCTTACTTAGCACCTCACGTGTTCCCCACGAGATGTTGTTCAGGTTGCACAGGCCGTAAATCGTGAGCACGAGGTAGCCGGCCGGAATACACAGGAAGTACAGGGGACCCGGGATGATGCACGCAAACTCCTGCGGATGGAAGAACGCTGCGAGCAAGAAGAACGCCGCCAACAGTGTTATGAAAACTACGCTGGGCGACGTGAACGACTCCTGTACACCGTTAATTATGGTACCGACAATGACAACCATCATGATGACACTATACAACGCACTAAGGATACTGGCTACCGCTAGCTGGGTCTTGGTGCGCGTGAACAGGCAAATTAGGATAAAGAAGAACGGCGGGCCAAGAGAAAGAGCATAGGACTGCCACAGGTTCGTCTTGAGTACAGCGTTGAAGGCACCAGCGATGGTCATCATAACAGTGGCCGGACCAAGGACAGTGGACACCAGCAAGAAGAACTGGTACAACATGTACAGGTGGCTGATGTTATCGTTGACGATGACGGTGTTCTTGTAATCCTGCAGCAGATCCACAATGTTGGCCATTGTTGAGGGAGCCCACCGTTTTCTCTGCTGGAAGAACTCGTTGAAGGTTTCAGGGCAATGGGTTAAGGCGTCGGCGGCGGCACAATACTCGATACGGTATCCTTGCTGTAGGAGTAACGTACACAGCCAACGATCTTCACCTACAATTATGATATAAACAGTATTAATATTCATGAATTTAGGGTTCGTTATTCACTTTTTCCCTCTTTCCTTACTTGTTTTGCTTTATTAATAAGATCATAATGCACGTTGTAATTATGAGTTGAACATTTTTTCTTTGAAATAAAATCATAATGCATATCTTAAAAAAAGGCTCAACCTCCTATTTGAAACATACATCTCAGGCTAAATATCCCGTCACTCCGGTGTCACAGGAAAGGCAGTTCGCTACGTATGGTAGTCTATTTCCAATTTTTTTTACAGGTGATATTTGCCCCATACACTGACCCTGATATTTTTGGATAACCCTAACCTGCACTAAGTCTTTGGTACCCAGCGCTTAAATTTCTGACGCTACCGTTCCTGCCACACCGGTCCCCAGTGCTAGAGGAAGACTTACCCTGATCAAACTGCACGAAATGCTGAGCCTCCGAGGCCCGCGTGGCGTACTGTCTCATCACATTGTCGTCCATGATGGCGGAACCACGGAACAGACTGAAACATCCGGGAGCACAGAGGACGCAGCCGTAGATGTGTTCTGCAGCCTTCTGAAGCCAATGACCAATGGCATACTCGAACTGCTGGAACCACACTATGGGGCCTGGGGGAGACAAAACACGAACAGAGATTAACATCGCTGATTTGATTCTAGTGCCATAAATGATTATTGCTACTGACCATTTGTTTATGACTCAAAGGAAATTAGTAGATACTTAAACAAGTCGTTGGTTTAATATTTTGATTGATGAGAGGTCGTTATTTAAATGAAAACAGTGTAAGTTGAAAGTTATTTGATTCAGCTCGTGCACACACCTTGTCCGACAGGATGAATACGTCCGCAAGCCGCTCCGACCTTCTTGTTCTTCTTCAGTCTGTCCATCAGTAAGCGGACAGCGTCCGATTTGAAGTCCACGTCTCCGTCCAGGGTCAGCAAGAACGTGTTCTCGGCCTGAATACAAAAAACAGTGTGTTCTGTTGAATATGTCTTCGATAATGAATGTATTTGTCACTTGTGTTGATAATTACTTTTCATTCTCAATGCTGCTGATCTCAGTTAACCGAGCGTCTCAAAATGCGTTTTCAGGTTTAAAAAAAAAAAAAACAATGTGACAGTCACTCATAAATAGAGCACAGTTTTAGTTACCGTCTCTCACCAACAGGTGGTGCCACTAATCACATATGTTAAAACTGGGCACCCTCTCTTATGGGTAGATTCTACTATCGCTTAAATGCTTTGCTTACAGCAATGTGAAGAGATTCGTCGTAGTCGTCAAAGATGTCCGTCTTCGTGTAGTGCTGGTTCTTGTGAGAGCGTCTCAAAGCTTTACTCTCCCACGTGCCGCGTTTCCCCTTCTTCTTGTTCTTTCCCTTCTGGCTGGTCAAGTACTGCTCACGCTTGGCCATCAGGTTGAAACCCAACAGGTAGTACATGTACATCACCTGAAAAAGTACATAAACATGATAACGAGGAACGGGCTAGTAGGCAGGGGGGTACGGCTTGCGGTAGAGAGAACCGCCCTGTTAGACTAAAAAAGAGTCCACTCTGAATCAAATTTTTTTCCAATTATAATGCGATTTCTCCATTTGGGACAACTAATGGGCCAACCACTTCTACTTTTTCGTAGATAAAATAACACACACTCTGAGGAATCCATGATGTTGTCAAAATACATAAACGGAAATAAAGAAACTAATATTTCAGACATTTCACCGAACAGTTTGCCTTAATGTATTTTACTTGTGGAGGAGTTTCCTAACCTGAGACCATCTCTTCCTGTGCCTGATTCTGTTCTTATCCTTCATGTGGACGTTCAGCTTGGTTCCTCCAGGCAGCGACCAGACCAGTTTACCGCCGTACGGTGTTGGCATCTTCTCTGGAGGGTGGAGACTGATCACGGACTCGTGCACAGAGCTGGAAGAGAACAGCATATGGATTGACGGTTTTCTATCTTATTGACCGAAAAAACACATTATTCGGTTTGTTACTGTTGTTCTGAATGGGTTTTAAGGCATATTTTATCTTAAGACGAAGCAAACGATGAAAAGATGATATAGAGTCAGACCTACGCCTTGCTAGGTCTGTAGCTCAGTCGACAGCTCACCGACTGCACTGTGTATAGTGATGTAACAGTGAGTACACCAAGTCACCACGTGACACCGATGGTACTACGATAAGGCGTTTAAGTCACGTGGAAGGAATGCATCACCAAATAGGTGTGTCAGTTGCGTAGTCACAGAATCCCCTCTGCTTACCTGGCAGCTTGGTCAATGACCTCAATAAATGCGCGCACGAAGTCGTTGGGCACAGTGTCATCATTGTCGTTCATTTCCATGGAGTCGTCGAACAGAATGTGAGCTAAAAACAGAAATCACACGCCATATTGAAATTATGTTAAATCTAACTTGTTTATTTAGGTTGAAAAATAATGTTGAGCAAGCTTAAACTACCTTTATGTTCCATACATAAATGAAAGGATTTTAGCCCTATAATTTTTGGTAAATGATTTTAAAAAAAACCAAATTAATGCAGTTTTGTGTCGGCCATACTTACTCTCAAACTCGTAGAAGTCAGGGTCTCTCACTCCGAAATATTCCTGGGCATTCTTACGGGCACACTGGTCAAAGTCCATTCTATAATAATAATAATAATAATAATAATAATAATAATAATAATAATAATAGCCAAAGAAACGCGGAAGAATTAAAGTAAAATAGTGTAAATTTAGAGATTTAGAGAAAAGAAAATGGCCAAATTAAAAAAAAAGCTATTTTCACTTTTTTGCTCCTTTTGTCTTTCGTTAAGTTAACAACCTAATCCAATGTATATGTCTGTACTGCTCTATAGTACCTAAAAACGGATTTCAGCAACTGCGTCATCTCATTTCGGGTTTCGTGCCACATTGTCGCGCATGCGTAGATCTTAGGAACGACGCCGTCATCGGTGATCTTGTACTTGTCTTCCAAGTCCTCGGTGCTCGTACCACGAGAGGTCAAAGTTGAAGTTCCATCCATGGTTGTTCCGGTTTCGATATACTCAAAATGGCCGTCACCAACCGAGATCATGTCCTTATCTCGCCGACGTCTGTTCAGCATCAGGGACTGTTCTATCAAAGCACCACAGTAGAATGGTAAAACGAAAAGCCTGGAAAAGAGTAAATTTGGTTACTTTCTACACAACGTGGGTTGTTTTAGAGTATTTACAACAATATCATTTGAACAATCCGGACAGTCTCTTGGGAGGGGTGACAGCTGCCCATCCCCAGAGATTTTTTGAAAAACATTTGTCGGATCTTTATGAAGTGTTCATCTTTTCCTATTTTTACAGTCCACCAGAAGCCTATTGATTTTCCTGCAGTAAGTGTCAAGACAAGTACCAGAGATGGTACAAATAACCTGCTTATATGTACTGTAGACGTTTAGTGGTTTAGATTTTATCATAGCCTACGGCCCGAGATGTTCTGTGTAAGAACGCGGTTCACGTTAGATACAAGAAGTGCATTTACATAAGGAAATATCTTGTTATGAAAATTTATATAAATTTAAAGAAAGCAACCGGCTTTGTAAAACCAAGATTATTCAGGACACGAAACTAATGCAGAAGTAAAACAAAATTGGGAGTGCGAGAAACCTGCGTTTACAAAAAGTTATCACCAATGTAAAAGGTGCAGAGCAAATACCTTTCCGACTTGGCCAGACGCTCGGACTGTGGGAACCAGATGTGGCAGGCAATCATCAGCTCCGACACCCACCAGAGGAAGAAGCAGCCAAAGTGGAGATAGAGCATCTGTCCTCCAGCCTCGGGGCAGGACCACGTGTACAGGCCGTCGGTCAGGTAGTTGGAGATGAACTCCAGTTTACACTGCAGGTACAGGATCACAAAGGTGACTGGCGTGGACAGCATCAGTGGAGCGGAAAAGCTGACTCTCTGCATGCACAACTTGCAGGCCAGACGAGCAAAGTAGTAGCAAATGAACGTTCCCACGGCCTGAGCGATGAAGGGGGCGAGCGTCTCAAGGGCGTGGCGCGAGGAACCGGCGAAATAGGCCGTCAGGACAGTTTGATCCGTGACGTTGGCGGTGTCACCGGGGACGACCCTCTGGCCGTCTTCTTCCTGGAATTGTTCGATCTCCCACTCTGCATAAGGCTTGTAGAAAGACACGACATCGTCCCTGATGTGAACCTCCAGCTTAAAGCCGCCGTTGTTAATGGCGAGGAGAAGGTAGGCGAAGGCAATGGTCAAACAGGACTTCCATACGGAAATGATCACGGTAGACTTTTCTCTCACGCCATGAAGAGAAGCGCGGAATTTCCTCAACGGGATTGACAGCCTGCCAATCTTCCTATCACGGTCGGCGAAATTCTCCCACCAGGAGATAGACACCAAGATAAGAGCAACTGGCACCTCCCATCCACAATACGTGAAGGCGAACTTGTCTTCATCTGGCTTGTCGCGGCTGAACACATTGGTTTCACTATTATTACCATTCACAATATTATGTAGTTCAAGTCCGATGTCTGAAGGATCGCGGTAGGAGAAGCCGGTCAGGATGATAATAGCGATTGCGGCGAGCTGCAGCAACGGGGCTATAATCATCAGCACACGCATGCAGATGGACTGCACTTTGCTGGTATCCTTCCGTCTGTTGGTCGGCTTGCCAAAACACAGGCCAAGGAGTCCAGGCATTGTGCAAACTGCTGCCATTATCATCAGTCCACGGATCATGTCCATTGTAGGAAGAACTCTGAACAGAAGAAGGCAAAGTCCGAAGGAATGGAGTGCCTCAATGGTGAGAATCTGGAATTAAAAAAGAATAATAGATTAAAGATATTGATAATAATGTTGTTTAATTCTTTTATTTTTGTTCTCTTTCTTTCCCTCTTTCTTTATTTGTGGTGTATAAATTCCCACGGAAACGCCGAATGATATGTGCACATTTCTAAAAGATAATGTAGGAAAGGGCAATTCCGATATAAATACAACCAATACTAGGAGAGCAGAAGGCATTATGTTTAATATAAAAGAAAGAAATGGAAACAATCGTAGTCGGCAGTTAATTGGATTAGTTAATTGGGTTGCTGAACACAACTTACCACGATAAGTGTTTTCGGTTTTGGCCAAGGTTGGCTTCCAAACATTGCTTTGAAGATGAACGTGACAAATGACAGGATATATGGTATACACACGCAGACGATCAGCAGCGTTATCCTTGTGTTCCGGTCATCTAATTCGTCGTATGTCTAAAAAAGAATTTAAAATTTAACAGCAACTGGAAAAAGAAGTTACAACTTCTACTGAGAAAAAACAAAACAAGCAGAAACATTTCAATCGCTAAATCAAAATATACAAAATGCCTATTCTCAAAATAAAACATACAAAATGTTTCCAAAAGATGTTAAAAAGAACCAAACATATCAATTCAAATGTCCAGCAAAGGCATAGGTCCTGTACACTAACGCCATCTGTATGGCATTGAGCTGTGCTGCCCTCTACGGGTGACACTATTCCTGGCTTGTATAATACACCACTTACAATGCCGCCGTCCCACATGTGGGAATCACCAAGGTTCGTCGTCAATAAAGTCCCCGATGTGAGCAAGAGAATGGTGAGCTTGCTGACCACGGCCGTCCCCAGCACCACCAAGAAGATAAAGATGTACATGAACACTTTGATGACCTTCAATACGATCTCAAAGTTCTCGCTGGCGCTCTGGCGTTCTCTTGGAATGCTTTGGAACACGTCCCACTGGTCTCTGTAAGATGTAATGTAATCCACATGATAATGGTCATAGTAATTAAATCATTTTAACTTATTTCATTTACCTTTGTTTTCATAACAAGTTCTCAGTTACTCAATTAGAAAATTTAGCCCGTCTCCTGGCGGTTAGTTTCGGCTTTAGTGACAAAAATCGACTGTATATATAAGGTCCGTAAGATGTTTACATTTGGGATGTGTTTAATATGCTACCGATAATACGACTTTTTACCGAAAAGCTGAGAACATTCTATGCAAAATGGGATACACTTTTATCATATTACTACCTATAGTTACACCCATTTGAAAAGGAAATTTGCTGTGAAATATTTATGGTTAATATTGTTATTGCTTACTTATAGAGTAATGCAGTGTTGTGAATTTCTGTCATACTCTCTGCATGGCTTACCATAGTTTTAATTTGTACTCGGGTGCTTTTCTGTGTTTGTATTACAAAGTACAACATGTCCGAACATCAAAAATTTGTCAATTATGAGTATGTCAAGTGAAAGTGGGTTTGTTCATCACATGAATGCCTGATTTAAACAGTTATGACGGAGATTTGCAACAGCGCATACCTGCGGTGAAGTCAAGGGCGTACATTACCTTAATATCTACATAAAAACAAACGCGCCGTTGAGCGCCATTTCAGGATTTTCCATAGCATAATATCATTCATCTATTCACGAAGAGAATGTAAAGATAGAAAGGCGTATCACACGAAATGCTAATTAGGAACTCAAAAGATAGATAATGTTACACAATGCCTTACCTTCTGGATCAGGTGATAATTAAGATAGAAATATAGATATGGGGTACTAACTAAATTACGTGTACATTCGTCCGTGTGTACTACATTGACTTACTCATTAAGATCTTCATCCTCGTAAAACGTTGCTGTTTCTTCAAAAATACTGTCAATTTCTCCCCTCTCAGATTTAGGATCTAGCCGGACTTTAGACGGCTGGTTAGGGAGAGTGTCACCGAGCCCACTGTCAAGAGTCGAGCTTCTCTTGTTAGCGTTTTCAAGGGAGCGACTTTTGCGATCTAAACTTTTCCCTGTCGCCGTGGACCCGATGCTCCTCACCTCTCCGTCCAAAATGGCGCGCTTCATGCTGTCAGCCGAGTAACCCTTTTCAAGAGTCGTCGAGCGTCGTCTGTTGTCTTCCAGCGATGTACTGCGCGACGGGTGGTTGAGGTTTCCCGTCGTGTTACTTCGAGGAAGTTTTGCATTGGAGTTCTTTGAATTGACAGAAATATTATCCGAAATGGAAGCTCTGGATATTTTATCAGCACTAGAGGAGCGAGAGGGTTTCTCGAGGGATGACGAGGGCCGTGACGTCCTCTCACCAGGCGGCGTGGGCGCCGCGCGCTTTTTGGCGGCCTCCTCACGTTGCATTCTTTCTCGTTCTTGTCTTTCTTTTTCTAGTCGTTCCTTTTCTTTTCTTGCATCCTCCGCCTGGAAAAAAGGAGTGAAATATAGAACAGATCCGTCACCCCTGACTTTCTGAGTGGTATCTGATGGTTCTGCGCCCGATTCACTGTAAGCTTTAAAGCTGATAATTTCTACTTTCCATAATTAACAATACATCCACATTGCATCTGATGAGATAACCAGATTATCTATGTACAGCATAATTAAATAAACTGCCACGCTTTTGTACCTTACTGAAGAGTTAACAGCCAGGCTCTGTGTCATCACATATGCCTCCCCTGTTAAAAAGTCATTAATATGCCTTAGCTGGGGTAAAGACCGCTGTTAATACCTCATTAGTATGCGAACGTCACTTAAGGGGTTCTCTGTCATATTGATCACGTGACAGATGTGTGGGACACACTGGGGTCTCTGTCTTAAACACAGTCTACTTGTTTCGCAATGACCATGACTGGCCAATTTATTAATGTACACAATAAAATGTGTATAGATTTACTTCCTGAACATCCTTGGTTGACATTGTGGACGTGGTAGCGTGGCGCTAATTACACGCAGCGTCACGTACATAACGCGTTTTCGTTTATGTAACAAATTCTCACATTCGTCAGAAACCAATTTTCCCGACTCACCTCAGAAATCTACAGCATAAAACTCTGTTATGTGACGCTAATGGAACAGGGTCACTCGAAAGGCAGTGACGCGTAGTTTGACTAAATAGCTTTGATCAGACGCAAGTCGTAAGTATGAACAAAATGAAACAACAAGGTGCCTTATCGATACCGCATCCATGGTAACCTTACACACTGAGACGAATTTCGTTTTATGATGGTAAACTGCGTCGTGATATGTTTTGTTATTATAATAAATGCATCTGTGGGATAACCTTAAAGCTGGGTTAAATCCCATTGCAATCATTACACCTATTAAGGTGACTTTTTCAAGCTAATCACGTGTGGTCGCACGCCTATATCAGATGGAAAATGCCGATATATGATGAAATTCCAGGCCTGTCGACTAACATGGAGATTTCATTAACATACAGGAGTTACATAAATTATAAAAAGCGACATATTTTTTAATAAAGTTATATCGTAGAAGAAGGGAAAATGATATTTTTCGAAACTGCCCTTGAACCGTCTACTTTTAAGGTGACAAATATATGTAAATCACACGCATAGGGGTTGTTTTTGATTTTTCCAAACATCCTCTGAACTATAAACTTGCATAATTTTCAGAGTCGTATATCCGTTTCTGTGAGCTAAAATTGGTTTACTATGTTTATGTGTAACTGAAACATATCCTTTTCAGAGAAAATAGAATACATTTTACCTGATATTATAATGCTGAACATCAGTACAGTATAGCATATAATCCAGTTTTATATACAGTATTCAACATCGAGATCAAGGCATCAACACGGCATATTAAATATATTAAAAACAAAAAACCTAAATATTAAAATAATGCAGAACACACATGTCAACAATCATCTACCCTTTATAAGTCTAAGGTTACGCAAAATATATTAAGTATAGAGCAGTAAAAGTGGCCATATTGTGCCATGTTTCCGTTACCTTCTTGAGACGTTCCTTCTCCTTGCGCGCCAGGTAGCCTCTGATGTGTTTCTGTACTTCGATCGTCATCTTGACCTTTTTCAGTGACTCGTCCAATTTCTCAACAAGCCAGTCTTTCATGAATACCTACAGAGAAACAATAGACGCCATTATTATTGTTGTCCTATTCCGTCAGTAATGTCAGAAGACACGCGCCCTAATGAAACTCAGCACGAACGCAGAAGACGTTTCTTCTGCAGTTTGGTCTTCGTCAGTATCATCCACGGTCGGGGCCTTTGTGCGTATGGACAAAGCCAAATTATGGGTTTGCGAGTACTTATGTTATATATCCATGTTCCTTTACCCGCACGCCAAAATGGGGGCCAGACGAGGGAATAGTGGCGGTTTGCACAGCGCCATAACATGCATGGAGCAGATGCTTCCGATTGGTACGCTCTGCACTGCAGAGACGAAGCCAACATTTCTAAATACATTCATCCTCAAAAAAGACGACTGAAAAATTGGAAGAAATTATACGTACTGTGAATGCATTTATGTTTTAATTTAAAGCGATATGTTTTATGTTTGGAGACCACTGCAGAGGAAATACAGATTCATGAATGAACCATGATGTCACCAGTCATCGAACAGTTCTCCCTTTCTTAGTCTTGCCTTTATCTGTTATAGGCACCGCCTTAATGATAGACTCAGTCACCGTGTGACTGGCGACCAGTGTGAGTTGGTATATTTTCCCCTCGTTCTCTGCGTCACAGGGCATACTTACTGCCATACTTACATGGTTATTGTCCGATCTCGGGATTATATGATAATCTTAAGAGAAATTAAGGTTATAAAATTATGGCACAGAGGTGTCGGGGAACCAGATTGGTATTAAGACGAGATGGCAGAAGCAGGGCCCGTGTCGCTCATGCTAAATAGCTATTAGCAGTTTTTTTTATTTAACTTCTGACTTGCAAAAACTTATATCAGTGAAAAAATGAACATTGAAATAAATACGTTAACAGACAAATTTTGCAGGCTCTCTACACTACTTTTTTTTACATATATGCATATACAAAATACACCGATATAAGGTGGAAAATTGAAAGACAAGCAAATGTCGAACTGCTTATGTCCAGGAGGTCATTGTGCACAGTTTCCAATCTAGGCATTCAGCTGAATGGTGATAATTTAATTAACTCGTTGGACTTGTGCTCGCGTTATTATAATTGGCACTAATGACGTCAGCATGGACCGGACCAGATAGGGGTAGTGGAATAACCTGTGTGAGCGCCCTGTGAGAACTATTTTCTGTGCCATGGTAAAATATGCAGAATCTGCGCCATTAAATCCCTGGGGTTGTGACTATTGTTACGGTCTATGAGTTGACACAGTGCTTCCATTGTGGTACCGTAACTATTTATTTTCCTGACCTTATTTGTCAGATGCCTGGTAGGAAAGTACTAAACCAAAATACCACTAGTTCTACTGATAACATCAAAAATGCTAAGATACAACTTGGACGATGCTTGCGCTTTACCACTTCAAAATGTTTTAATATTTATTATTTATCATTAATTGTTATCAAAAGTTATCAAAATAACAGTGACAAATAGATATAGCACAACAATGGATGTTTCTCTTTGAATGGTCTGCAAAAAAAAAAAAAAAAAAAAATATATATATATATATATATATATATATATATATATATATATATATATATATATATGACGAAACCTTTTTAGAACAATTTCATGAAATCCAGACATTTTTTATATATTTAATTATCAAGTTCGCTAGAAAGATTATAAAAAGTCACCCCGAGTGCACATATAGCATTTTGACCGAAGCTGAACGCCGTGGGAAGCATCAAAAAAGAACGCGAAGGAGCCGATAAAAATAGTTTCTTGTTTGGTTTGAAAGGGACACTGAAAAAGTCCACTGCTTATCAACTCTCAAACTCTTCCTCAAGAAAACAATAAAGGGTTATTTTACGTTTCCGTGCTCGGGGACATTAGTGGGACTCATATCATTACACTCCAATTATAAGAAAACAATAACATTGTCAAAGTAGCAATTCTCAAAGATAAGTTGCATATATATTCAATGTATTTTGAGATAGGTCGAATGTTAGTTTTCTATCATGAATAATATTACATAAAAAGCCACGCAGTCTACATACGATGATACTGAATTTCAAGTTATTGTGGACGGTCTATACATAGTGCTGAGTTGGTGTTAACTAAAGTGTTGTTTTTATCCTTATGCATGCGGATTATTACATACCATGCTTTATTTCATAACTAACGTAATCTTACAGATAGTATATTACTGTGATTGTCTTTTTGTTTTCTCATCAGTAGGGCCTATGCTTCTCTCTAAACCATGTCTAAGAAGTATAACAGTAGTCTAGCTGTAATTATCTACATGTCTGAGAGGTATAATGGAAGTATAGCTGTAAATTTCTACAGGTCTAAGAAGTATAACAATAGTCTAGTTGTAACTATCTACATGTCTAAGAAGTATAACAGTAGTCTAGCTGTAATTATCTACATGTCTGAGAGGTATAATGGAAGTACAGCTGTAAATTTCTACATATCTAAGAAGTATAACAGTATAAAGCTGGAAGTATCCACATGCCCGAGAGCTATAACATTAGCCTAGCTGTAACTATCCAAATTGTCTAAGAAGCATAACAGTAGCTGTAACTTTCCACATGTCTAAGAAGTGTAACAGTAGCTGTAACTATCCACATGTCTAAGAAATATAGCAGTCTATAACAGTTTAGCTGTATCTATATTTGTCTGTGTCTTACCTTAGACTTTCCCAGTATATAGCCGTCTGTGCTCACGGCGTCCAGGATGGTCTTGCAGTGGCGAGGGCGTGGCTCCACGGGGGTCTTGCCCTCGAAAGCTATGGCCTTATACCTGAGAGGGAGAATGAAGATTGGATAGGGTTATTTTTAAATAAATAGAAAACTTTACAAGACAGTCTTTATAAATTCGTATCGGTCTGACACCTCTGTCAGTGACAAATTTTTTAGCAAATGCATATATTGTTTTCAAGATATCAAAACAATGTTACCTGGTTTCACGTTTAAGAAAAAAAAATAAACACGATAAATACATTAATATTAATTCGTCAATGTGTATCACGTTCTGTTTGCAAATCAATGAGCTGGCAGTCCATTATTTATTTTTCAATCGTATTGTATATAATACTTTATAAGTAAAAATTGATAAAACTAGTTTTCGCATCCTTATGTGGTTAGTATTTTTTTTATAGAAATCTCAGTTTAAGCACTCGAACAAAACTTACTTTTCCAGGAAATCCGCGAAGATTATTCGCACTGGGTAGCCGTTTTTCCTAATCCTGGCAATCTCAACCAGGCCATTATAGCGCAGTTGGTTGATCACCATGTCGCTCTGAAACTTGTCTGGTTGGCGCTGGTTGTTGGATTTGATACATCTGAAGGAGAAATTCAATTTTTATTGAGTTTTTTTTTTGTAAGTGTTATTTATACTTCAGGACTCATTAAGATTCTGTTTTTTAAATTCACCGATACAAAAACAGAAGTATAGAAAAGCACCTATGGACTTCGATTTTGTGTTGAAGTTACATTAACATTTTCCAGTATCGATGAGGTCATGTTTTCCTGTAATCTTAATTTTTTTATCCAGTTTTATTTACCATGTCATCATAGAAGGGCTTTGCTATTTTATATGCTAACAGAACACCAAAAAAAAAAAAAAAAAAAAAAAAAAAAAAAAAAAAAAAAAAAAAAGAAAAAAAAAAAGTGTACCTCACGAACCACGGGTTGGCAGCGGAAACTTTCTTCATCAGCTCTCCAAGAGACATCTAAAAGATGTAAAAATAAAATTACAGAATAGGATGTCAAAATATGTCAAGGTCAAATCATGAATATATTAACCATTCCAAGACATACTGTGTAGAAACTTCAACGTAATAATTTTTTAACGTTTATTTCCCCTTTTGTACGCTAAACGCACTGTACACACGCTTTTTGTATATACAGTATATGACTGACGAGTCAAGTCTTTATTCACAGCGATATTTCTAGGAAACTGATACTTGATACCTAAGATACAGTGTATAAAATCTGAACTATACAGAAAGCTATCAAAAGGAGAATTAGTCAACAAATATTTTGGGGAAATAGTTTGAATTTGTAGATTTCTTTACACAATGTTCAGTTTGTTATCATCAAACGCTTTCTCGAAAGCTCTGCTAAAATCTCTGTCATTGTTGTTCATTTAGTTCAACAGATAAGTAGTTTGGATTACCTTAAACTGCGCGGCCACCGTCTGCGTCTTTCGTAGAGTGTCGTACTTGGGATTTCCCTTCTCCACGATAGATCTGAACGACTGGTAGTGCGTGATTTCCTGGGCAGTTTTCTTGGAGAGGTTCTCAGAGCGACGTTTCTGGGACAGTATGGGGCTGTTTGGGGAACGCACCAGGTGCTTTGTGCTCAAAGACCTGAGGTACAGAACGAACGACAGGTGAAAAAGATTTTCAAATTTTTGCTTCAAGTTTGAAATTTTATCTGAATTCTTTCATTTTAAATGTAATATTTCTCCTTATGTTCATTGAGCGTGGTGATCTTATCTTATTGTTAGAATTCCTGTGTGGCACAGGTAATTCTTCAATGTGTTCAAATTGTCATTACAATAACTTAAAGCCAAAAAATTAAACTTCCAATCACAAAACTATTTCTTTCATATGCTCTTTTTTTTGTGAAATGTCATTTGTTCGACCAAAACATACCATGTGTGAGTTAATCATCTTCAATGGCTTTTGTTGATTTAAAAGACATACCGTGAAACGCCATCTGGCGAGTTGAGATCCACGCTAAAGAGCTCTCTGATCAGTTCGATCTCGCTGTCTTGAAGGCATTTCACCAACACGGCACCAAGTCGGTCTCGGTTTTTCTCCATAAATTGTTTCGCATTGTATATCACCTAAAATGACCCAGTTAACATTTTTACACCTAGACTTTTGTTGACGAAAACAAAAATATCTAAAGCATTTTAATCTAAACTCTGTTGGTAAATACAGTTGATCTACTTTCAACACATTTATCTTTTTAACAAAAAATATAGAATTAACAATTTTAAGCCCCTTTTAAACACTATATTTGCGAAACAAGACACTAAAGCTATCAAATTAAAAACAGGAACTTTCCAAAATGCACATCTATTCAATGTTTTATTAAATTTGACGCCAAAATGGCAGACGACTTACATCTGCGGCGTAATGCGTGATGGCGAAGGCGGTGTCACTGCCCGGAGCGCTGACGTAGGCCTTGTTGTCCTTCAGGTTACTGTTCAGCTTCTGGACCAGGCTCAGGTCGGTGGACTGCGGGAACTTTGTCTCCTCGTCCAGCAAGTCGAAAAAGCCGCGGTATTTCTTAAAGGAGAAAAGTGAATGATATTAACTTTTATGTGAGGTACATGACAAAATGGATTGTAAAAAAAAAAATTTTTCAGCCTTGTTTGTGCTTCTTTTCTTTCATAAACATGCAAACATTAAGTTGGCTCCACACACTTTGAGGCGAAATAAGTGAGTGAAGGATAACCACAAAACTGGACATATCATAACTACTGCCATTACGTGCTTGCATTATCAACGAGTCAAAAATTTCTACGACTTCACCCTACAAGTAAGTGTCAAAGAAAGTCGTTAAATCTGAGAGTACAAGTATAGAAACAGTACAGAGAGGCGAGTGACGGCACGGTCAGTGGAGAAACTCACCAGTACGAATTAACGTGTGGATAATGGGTGCAAGCAATATGTTATATTATGTTAGGATAATATGACGCTCTTGATGGCGCGGGGCACGCACGCGCTCAGTTTTCTTCAGTGTATCAAAGGAAAAGACAGTCTTCGTTACTACGTTAGGTCTTCCTCGAATGAGAATATTGCATTTCACATGGAAGCAACATATGAAGAATAAATCATTGTCGAAAGTGAATTGAGTCATGGCCAGTCTTTGATACTCTTAAAGGGCATAATGTGTCACTAATTCCTGCTCATTGTTTTATATTTAGCACATCTAAAACAATCAACGTGCTCAGTAATCAGGAAACACTTTACTTTATACATACATATATCTTTAAAATATCCCATCCTAGCCTTTTACGAAGAGTTTTATTTACCTATATTAATATTTCTAGTATAGCCTGGAAGTATGCAAGTAAATATTCATTCGTTCTTTTTTGTTCGGACTTTGTAATAAAGCTACCTTTTCTGTTCATGCGCAGTGATGTTTCAGTCACTGGCGAGTAAATTACATGGCAAATGACTTAATGACTGACAAGCTTCGTTCATCTTTTACTCTTTTTTAAGCACTCAGCCCTAAATATCCAATCACGTTACAGTCAAAACCTTTAACATACAGAATGAAACCACAGCGTCTAAAATGATTACAAAAACACGTATATTTTATAACTATGACTATCAAATTAGCTTCTTCAGCAAATATTTCAAGAAACTCTGTACAATAGTAAATCTGTTGGTTACGGTGTTATTATGGGGGTGCTATTGTAACAACTAAGACATTTATCATAAATCTTCTAGCTGGTTATGACGGAGATTCTTCGATGAACTTTTCTCAAGAGTGTAAGAGGGCGCCATGCATTAGCAGAGAAGACAGTGGATATTGTAACCCGTTCACTTTATTCAACACACTTAAAGAGTGTTTTTATTCTTTACAGTTTTAAGCGGGTAGTATAGGTAGAGCACATCTGTTTCCATTATCGCATACAAGACCAGATTTATGGACGCTCGCCGCGTTATGGTGTCAAACTCAACATGAACGCCTTTTATATGTATACTTTGATATTTTGTGGCTTGTTTTAAGTCCGTCAACACCTGACATTCAGGTGACAAACAGCGCAAAGCCCTGTTTTTGCCCCGAGATGGCATGACTTGATAAGAAAGACCCAACCGCAACCGTCTGAGATGAGAATGTAATGGCATTTTATATGTCTTAAAGTTTACATCGTGTGGGTGCTGTGACTGGTTAGACATCTTTTTGATAGCTTAGCTAAAAATGCACATTGATGATGATTTCGTGAAATGAAAAGTTTCTTTCTATATAAATTTGGAGCGCACTTTTCCTGGAAAATCTAGCATTTGTCTTGGAAACTAAGGTTTTACTATCAGTTTTGGCGGCACCAGTTCGGTCAATTCCAGTTAAAGACCTTTATTTGAAGCGTGCGAAATACTGCCTAATCACAGGATTACGAAAAAGATGCTACAGCTTTTTATTCACCTTTCCACAGACAGATTTCTATTTCGTTCCGGGTTTTCCTGTAGCGTACACACATATTCACATAATACGCGTTTAAAATGCAATAAATTAAACATTTAAATGTTCAGTCAAATCGTGATGGTTGAGCACATGGTTTATTTGTCTATACGTCAAATAAATTTATTACTTTTCAATTGCTCTCTTGTAGGCCTCTGAGTATTCTGTCTCGTCGGCCCTTTTGAAATCAGGTCCTATTCTCTTGTTATGAACATTAATGAAAACACATGCATAATTAAAGCAGTATAATGTTGTAAACCGTTTACGATACTGTTACATCACAAGCGCCCCCTCTGTGTTTCATTTTTTGTATATATATTTATTTGCAACATTCGCCATATCCCCCCCCCCCTCCGCGTCCCTGTTGCCGTGGCTGTGTTGCAAGAGTGCACAAGTATGTATATTTCATTGCTACCTTAACATACGTGTTGTGGTCTCGGATGACTTATGTTGACCATAAAGCAAAGTGTTTCCGTTTGATATCAAAGAACATATAGGGACGTCGCCATGTTACTAGTCACAGAGCCTTAACACTTCAATCGAGTCCCAACACGCGTCATAAGCTGACTGAAGAGAAAAAAGTTACACCGTATCATGACCCATATTATTTTCGACTAGATAAACACCAAAGTTGCGAGAGACGACAAAACGTATTTTAAGATTGCATTAAAAAAACAGTTTCAGCTCAAACTGTCATAAATACCCTAAATGCCAAAGGCTAAAGACTTTCACACATTCATACGAATAGAGTAATAGTATAATTACAATTATTAGTAAGACGCCATCACCGTCGAAGTACACGTCGTACTATTACAATGCCTATTGTGATGTTGTTGTGAAGCCGATGCCATTTATCCTGTCCAATGTCAGTTTAGTCATTTAGATACAATATCCCGTCTGTGGAAGCTTATTAGTAAGCATGACGCAACTTCAAACAGATTTACTGGCTGCGCCTAGCCTGTGGAACGACACTATTAACATTGGTTTATTTGTTGAAAAAAATACAGATGGAAAAGTAGTGTGTTACGGTACACTTCGCCAGACAGACCTGTTTGAGCAAAGTTTCCATTATATGTGGTTTATTAAGTTGGAATATACCAAAATAACATATAATCGCGTGACAAATCGGTATGATGGTTGTAAGCCAATTCTTATATTATATATCAAAAACCGTCATTGGCGATTATAAAATTGTGTGTTACTTTTCACTTAGAAGATCGGAATTTTAAATGAGTATTTCTGAAAGAAAACACGCAAAAAAGAAAAGAGTTAGTAAAATCAGCTAAAAACCTGGATCTACATGTACATTGACATTTGATATATGCAAAACGTAAACTCGAAGACCTATAATAATATCTACCAGTACGTCATGTGTTTTGGGTATGTCATGTATGACGTCACACTTACCTCCATAAAGAGGTTAAGTACATTCTCGTTGTTCTTAAATTCAATAGTAGTCCAGTCTACGCCGTCGTCTTCGTAGTCTTTCTGTTCTTGGACAAAGATGTAGTTGTTGAAGTGGAACTGTAGCTGTTCGTTCGCCACGTTGATGCAGAGTTGTTCGAAACTGTTGGTTTTAAAGTTTTCAAAACCAGATATATCTAGTATACCCATGGTGGGGCCTTTGTCGTTTCTGAAAAAGAAAAATGAAATTGACAGACATTAAAAAAATGACTCTTGGTGACAGATGCTCTTAATTACGACAAACCAATCGAAGTAAAATGTGGCAAGGTAAACGTATGCTGAAAAGCAAAAACTGTAAAACAGACTTATTGTGAATGTGCTTTTGCAACTTTTCTTTTAGAGTTCGATGCAATCTTTGCATAATCAATCCATTCACAAATCTTCATTCCACTGTGTGTTTCTCATTTGAATAAGAATCCTTAAAAACAGCCAATTACTTCTGAGGTCTGTAATTGCCTCACCTTTGTTCTTTGGCAGGCTGTAATTGATGGTTGATCTGTGCGACAATCCACCCGAACAGACGCTCGTACAGCGCCTTGGCCAAAGCGTCTCGTCCGTCATTGGCCTGATGTTTGTTCTTCAAACTTACGACATCCTCTCCTGTATGGACAAAACAGCAAGTGATAAACACCAGTTTTGTATGATTAATATAATTAATTTGATAGGAAAATCTACTGCCACCCCAAATTTGTAGTCTTCTATGCTATTAGTGATGCACTTGGAGATATATACCTTGTGTTATTATATTTTATTTTATTTTATCTAAGGCACTTAATCAAGCAATCGTAAAATATATTATAAAAGATAACTTCTTTTTTAACCTAAGTAAAGTTTTGGAAAAATTAGCATTATGTCTTAACGTGATAGTAATGTTCTCAATTTTACGAGTCTTTCAATAATGTACTTTTTGACTTTAGCCTGAGCAAATAAAGAACTTGGAGGGCACGCGTTCAAAACGGTTCAATCACACGACCAGAATACCTGATATGCGGGAAATGTTGGAAATCAAAGCTTTCGTTAGTTCTCTCTCGTTCACACCCAACAGATCAGCAGCTGAAATATAGTATAATACAGAATGTTATCAATGTGATTAAGTAGAATGGCAGTTCATTGATGACATGTATTTTCTACGTGTGGGTCTGCAGTAGGTCTGCACTGTACAGTTATTTCTAATAATTTCATACTAAAACTATTCAGGTATTATAAAGCAGTGCGCCTAAATCGCAAAAATGTGGCGTATGCCAGCTAGAAAACTTATTAAAACCAGAATTATAATGAATAATAGATAAATTTTAGCATAAAAAATTATTTATACGTGAAGATAAGTATGGATATTTACCTATGTCCAGAGGAGCCTCATCTTCAATGTAAACGCCGTCCGTGTCCTCATCATCCATGAACTCAATATTGGAGATGTGCAACACTGTGGACAGCAAGGTGAAGATTGTCGCGATGTCCTGAACAGAAAACCATACATGTTACTTGAAGTGCCACGTTTAGCTTCCATATTTTGTGAAGAGAATTGAATGGAAAGCTATTGACCCTCTGAAATGCACAGCTGGTGGTAGTGTGCGATGCAATTGAGAATAGACAATAGATAAACGGATTGATTGAAGACTGTGCTAGGACAGGAAGGACACATCTAAAGCTGCACGCTTTTTCATGTTATTTTCAATTCTAATAAATGTGTCGTAATATTACTGTTAAAATATTTAAGTTGGCAACTCGTGCTTGATTTTATGTTTTTTTTATATCTTATTTTGCAAGAAAACGAACTTTTCTCGTCAGGAAGTCCTCTTTAACCACACTTACTGTTTCATAATTTAAATCATTCCAACATTACTGTGCATTAGTGTCACTATTCTTACATATCATTATATAAATGTAACCAGATGATAAGTTATCACATATTTCCCGCCTGTGGTTATCACGTCTTTCATGTATGCGTGGCACCAAAATGCTTGTAAAGTGTATATGATATTAGAATAAAGAGCTTCTAAAGCATAATCGGAGATTGCTACACTCGTTAACAATGTACAGCATCATAGCTAATGACCCACTGTTTGAACAACCTACCTCCGCGATGAAACCAACTAACTTCATGATGTCATTGAGATGAACGAACATATCTTTGCACACGGACATGTGTTGTTGGCTCTCGAATATCGGTGTACCGTCCGTGTTTCGAAGGATTCTGAAACAGAAAGCAAACGATGTTGGCACTAAGTTTGAAATTAATGCAATGGACTGAAAATACTAAACTGGCAAGAGTCAATGAAGGAGAGAGAGAGAGAGAGAGATCATATTACCTGTATTTTTCTGGTTTCTCTAAGGAGTAGTACTCCAACATATCTTTTGGCATTCCAGCAAATAAGTAGTAGAATATATGAAAATTTCTGTCTTGTGGACTTTTCTGCACTATTCTGGACTTCTCCAGCAGGAAGTCGCTGATGCGTGCTGCAATTCACAGGAAAAAGTTATCATATCTGTAACTTCATACAGTGTATATTATTTCTTTATTACATACCTTATCTTCGAGCAAAATTATAAAGTTAAAAATATCCTTAAATAATAAAATCCTTTGCAGTGATTATGCTTCCTTCTTATCTTATCATGATATTTACCTCCAGTGAGTTTCCCATATTTCGTGAAATACATGTCAACAAATTTTCCAAATCGACTGGAATTATTGTTCATTGCAGTGCGGGCATTACCGAAAGCTTCAAGAAGTGGGTTTACCTGAAATGTTCATGTAGCGTTAGACAGTACTTAATGAAAACAGCGCCATTTAAAATTTAATTTAAAATTTAAAAAGCGTTCTCTTCACTTTTTTTTTACAGTTTCCAAAACAAAACCACCCACTTGTTTGCCAGAACATTAGGTAAAACAAAATTAAAAACATTTTGCTATTTCAAATCAGCCAAGACATTTACTCAGCAAAACGATTAGAAGTACAATAATAATTTTTGAAATGGTTGAGTTCCTTTAATAAACTAAAATATAATTATTTAACCCACCTCGACAATCTTTTTATGCAAATTTGAAATATTTTTATCCGAGTTGCCAGAACACAGGTAGGCCACGTGCTGGATCACAAATTTGGAGTTCTCAGTTTTCCCGCTCCCTGACTCTCCGCTCACAAGTATCACCTGGTTCTTGTTGTCTTTGCGCATGCGCTGATATGTCGAGTCTGCCGTCCAGAAAATGTGTGGTTTGAGATCGGCACGACTGTCGGCATTAGTGTAAAGCTCATGATCCTGGAAAGAGAAAACGATTTAGTACCTACTGTCTTACTACATGTTCGGTGTAACCGTGCATTTGGTGTAACAGTGTGTTAGGTGTGGTACTATTAGTGTGACAGTGTGTTAGGTGTGGTACCATTGGTGGGACAGTGTGTTAGGTGCGGTACAATTAGTGGGACAGTGTGTTAGGTGTGGTACCATTAGTGGGACAGTGTGTTAGGTGTGACTCTTCAAGTGCTGGGAGATTTTTGGACAAAATGATAACGAATAAAGAACCCAGACTATTGCGTGTCTCATATACATAATAAGTTTAAATGTCATTCAGGTATCTCTTAATTCAGGTGTATAAAACATCGACATTAACATAAAAATAATCTAATTCAGTCTGTTAAACAGCAATTCTTTTTTCCCATTCCAAAGACTTTAGCTCTATGACGATTGGAATATCATCCAAGTAATGGAAATTTCAACTACAGATTTAAATAATAAAAGTTTAAGTGGTAGAAGGTCATAGGCTTATATCCTACCTGCTCTTTATATATGTGCAGCGTCTTAAATGGATTGACAACCACCAAGACATCTCCAATGTATGTCTGAAAGTAAATTAAAGAGAAATTATATTTCATAAACTAAGCGTACACTCAAAGAGAAGGCAATCGTGGTTGCTTAAGGCGTGCGGATATATTTTTGTATTGTAACTTTAATTTAGGATTAATATTCTCTTGTGCAAAAATGGTTTTAGACAGCTGCTATGATTTATACATGAATCGATTGTTTTATAAACAAAATATTTATTTGTTTTTTATTTAACTTTCGACTTAATTAATTATTTTCATGATATCGACCACTTTCATTCATTGCTATCTACACAGAAAAAAATTGTGAATATCCCATTGTTTCTACCTCAGAAAATTTCCTCAACAAATATCAAAGTTAGTCAACATATTCCACACAGGTGTCGTGAAAGCATTTAGCTGCTGATTAACATGGGTGATACACGACTTGGAGGGCGAAAGGGGGAGGATTTTTGTCGCTTAGGTCCTTAATCTCATTTATAATCAAGATGTTAGTAGATTAATCCGCCTCAACGGCACTCTTTGCTCTTGTCAACGAGAAACTTCATGTAAATTGCAGTATGTACTGATACAGCCCTGAAAACTAGGGAGGCATAAATTGGTAGATTTTATATCTCTGGATTGAATAGATTAAGACAAGAAGACGGTAAAAAAAAACTGTGTTTGTTGGGGAAAGGGGATGAGTGGTAGGACTAAGTAATTCTTTGATATCTTGGAAATTATTTTGGTCGAATTCTCATGCGGCCAAGAGGTTGGGGTTCGAGTATAAATATAGCAAATTATACGAGATAGTAGAGCATATAAGACTACTAAATTGCTGCAGTTTTAAGAATTAAGTCCTGCCTTTTCATTTTAGTTAAGTGTGTGAATAGAACAGCCTCTTTCATAGGTACCGAAGTGGACCTCTTTTGAGTTTCCCACCCCATCCAGCCAAAGAACAACGTTTTTCTGATTCTTATTTTGGGGTGTAAAATCAAAAGTGTTGGTCAAAACAGGCAAAGACGTAGTTTTTTAAGATAAGGAAACCCCGATCGAATGAATTTGATAGACTGTATATAATTCACAGTATGCACCTATTCAATTCAGTATACATTTTCTAGACAAAACTCAATTATACAACAGCTGGTAGCCGATACATATTAATAAAACTATATCAGCGGATCTAATATTGCGTCACACATTGTGTTGTCATTTACATCAAGATGGAATACAAATGTCATACTACTCATCCATTCTGAATTTTAATTTTCAATTAACATTAATTAATTTAAGAGGCTGTGTTCTACATTGTAGATAATGCATTGTGACGCACCAAGGAGATATGTCAGGTAAAATGACATCTACCTGTCACCCCTTGTACTGGGTACAGGTGACAGTCAATAGGACAGGCCAAGAGCGGACACCTCTGTCGTCAAAAGGGATGGTCAAATATTACAGGTGTTAATCCTAAAATGTTGGATCATTACATGTCCCTTTTGGTGGGGCTTGAAGAAGACAAGTGTTTATTATTTATTTAATTTTCCTCTTTAACTCCAAAGACAGGCAGTTGATAGAAAGATTGATACAAAACCCAAAGCAGTCATCCAGACAATAAAAGTATAAAAATGACAATATAGTTTATAATCACACCAAGGCTTATCTCACTGCTTAGATAGAATATTTTATGAGTAAATTTACTAGTACATATGTTCATTATATAAAGATTATTTTTTCATTCACAAACGGCTAGGCAACATAATTACCAAATAGAGAAATGGTAATGCACCAATTGTATTGTATCGTCATTAATATATTATATTGTACAAGGTTATGACAATCTATGTACCAGTACAGAAATAAATTGAATTGAATTGAAATGACAAAAAGAATAAAAATAGGGAAAACTTTCCAGCCAAAACACAAATGTTTTGGTTTCTGAACATGTTAATTCAACCGGCAGCCTTATGACTTAATTATACGGTGGCCAAATATAGAGCTCCCTATTAAGACAGAATTAATGCAGCTAATGTCCATCTTGTTGCTACACAAGTGTGCTACCAGCCAATCGTGGAAAGTTCCCCTCCCCGGGTCACTGACTGCCTCTTTATGGTCTTCGGCACAAACTATCGGGATTTCCAAACAAGCGTTACAGGGGCTTTAATATTATACGCTGTGTCACCGCAAAACCACCGATGTGTCTCGTAACGCGTTTTTCATGCCAAGCAGTTCGGGCGAGATCTGCCATGAAGCTCATTGGTGAGATCTTTATGACGTCTCCGTCTTGGTAAATCGGAAGCATTCGGCCATTTCCGTACCGAGCAAGGATAGCAGCCCAAACCCTAACCAATAATGTAATTTCTAGAAATCCATAAAGATTGGTTTATGAAAAAAATCTTTGTTATTTCAAGATATGAATGATATTTTCAAACTGGGAATGTTTTCTTCAAGAAGGCCACTAAATTCAGCAATGTAAGTAGAATTTAGTAAAAATTTAGTAAAAATTCAATTTAATGTACTTGAATTATTTTCTTTTTTTGTGGGGGAAGGGGGTGAATGTGGCCTTTAAGAAATAAAACACATCTTAGCACATTGCATTACTTGAACGTACATCACAAAATCAACAAAAAATATTTCCAGGCATCCAGACTCCTAGCCATGTCTCCCATATGACATCATAGGTCGTGACGGCGTAGGAGGGAGGTCTGGCCTAATGACAAGGTATATGTATTAATCCACGAGGTTCGTGACATTCTGCCACTTAGTTACAACTTGTAGGCCTATTCCTATCGTCTGCTATATCTTCTTCCTCCGAGTGAGTAACAGGGAAAACAAGCGCAGGGCAAGGAAGTCGTGCGCTAATAGCAGTTATTTCAGACAAATGCGGTTTTTCTAGTACTTCTCCAGATATGAACTGGTAAACGTGGTCCTTCAGATGATGAAAGTAAGATTTTAACAAAATTATTTTAGTTAATTCCAGGGTCGGATTCATACATGAATAAAATGTAGAAAAAAGGGCGGTTCAAAACATTTAAAACGAGGTAACTCACACCCTATTGTATCAGCGGTTTTCAGGAGTAACTTCTAGTGAATACGAGAAAAAGAATTATTTAAAGATAAACTTACATAATACTGTCCATTGACGTATCTGACATGTAAATTTTCAAGTATAACCCTTTCATCCAGAACTTCTAGTGTTGCCAGATCATCGCCTTTATTCTGATCCTTGGTGCTGTCGCGGTTATGAGCGCCACCTTTAATCACTTTGGTTGGCGGCCCGGGGGCTGGCCCCTTGCCTGCAGACATGTCGAAAAGTTCGTACCCTTCAAACGGGTCTGGGTCTAACGAATCCGGGTTCGGTTCCTCAAATACCGAATCCTTGTCTGAAAGGCCTTCGTCGTTGCCCGCCTGCGCTGGAAATAAGTAAACGTCGGAGTCGTCCTGATAAGGGTCTGAGTCGGAATATGGCGACCCCGCAGCGCCGTACCCTGGGTTATCCCCGGGGTAGGGATCTCGGAGTGAAGGGTCGGGAAGAGGCTCCGGGTAGTCCTCTTCTTCTTTCTGTGGAAGGCGGCGACAAGCTGGAATAGAGAATTTCACAGATTGCATCATCGTAATCTGTCGACATTGCTTGTTTTGTTTTTTTCCCCTTTCATATTGAATTAATTATTTATGGCACCCGTTGTGCGCGCGTGCAGGCACACACACACACACACACACACGCTCTTGGTCAACTGTATCACTTGTCACTTACCCATTTCTTTCTGTCACTAAACTAAAGACAAAAGCGCATACGTTACAGATCTTTATAGAAGCAGATTTTGTAATGTTACTGGAGATGCCTCAATTTGCATCCTCGTAGATCGGAATGACAAGGGGTTATCCGACAGGCTGAAGATAAAGTTGATTAAAATGGCATTATTAATGATGACCCTTATATTATTATGCTGGGTTATGCACACCTGTACAAGTGGTTCTAGTACTATCTTCTTTCAACCCATACTTGTACTACACATGATTTGTTACTGACTACACTTCGAAAGCTTAGTTGTACGACTTCGCGGGACTTCACTGAAATCCACAAGATCTCAGCGAGTTCCTCATTACGAGTTCTGACCATAGCGAGTTGCTTTTCATGTCTTACGTAATTATAAGTCGTTCAATTTGAATAAGGTTCTAAGCAAAAACTGTCTGATGACATTAGTTGTAATTTGAACGTACAGTCGTGGTATTTAACTTACTTCACCGTCACGCTTTTTAAAATGACCTACCATCATGAAGATTCGCCAGACGCGTTTTCAAGGGTTTCTTAGATCTTCTCTTCCCAGTTTTGAGAATTCCTTTAGGAGTGACACCCACGATTTTCTTGGGCGGTTTCTTTCCTTTTCCACTCATTTTCTCCCCTTTTTTTAACCATTTACTAGCACATAATCCCTACTCTCCTCGCCCGGGGTGGCTGCAGTCCCCCACACAATGTTATGGTATGCTAGACACTTTTCATTCACGCCGTTATTCATTTTATTTTATCAAATTATTTCATCAAACTCAGCTAATCGTGACTTAATTATAATATCATCGACCGCAATTAAGCGGAGAAAATTGTCTTGTTGCTATGTCAACGGCCCGAGTGAAATTATCGGGAAGGCCTGCGTCAGGCGTTATCTGGAGATCGGTAGCACCTTGGACTTTTTGGGCCCTGCGTTCTTTGATAAGACGCCTCTATCGAGGCGGCCATCTTAACATCCGCTCAGTGACTGGATGGTTCGTAATAGAATATTCCACTGAACTTGATCCGACATCTTAATTTGATGCTGTTCACTGGCTTTTACGTGAACTATACTAACCCCTTAGATTTTTAAGAGAGAGAGAGAAAGAGAGAGAGAGAGAGAGGGGGAGGGGGGGGCGATGTTGTTGTGACTAATGGTCACATGAGTAAGGGTATAACTGATGACTTTCACTTAATGTGGCAAATCAGAAGAAAATCATTGACATTTACTTTTAATAACAGGTACTTTAAACAAATGACAAAATGCATCGTCCGTCGTCACGAAAACCGAAACTTGGATGGATTCAAGTTCACGCCTGAATATAGCTTTAATAGGAAGGTCAAGTTTTCTTAACTAAAATACTTCTTTTTTCAAAACATTTTACATTAATCTTTTTATTTGGAAAGTAGTGTATGACACAGAGTGGAACAATGCTCTGTCATGTTCACCTTGAAGAAAGCCTTGAATAAGGTGAACTTTCATTAGCTTGCCTATACCGTCCTCCCGTACGGCGAAAGTCAAATGGGTAATGAACTTCAAGTTCCATTCTAGTATTAACTGTTAGTATTACGTCAAGCAATGTGTTTACTTTTTATATCAGCCTGTATACAAACACAGCATTTTTCGTTCTATAAAAACACTGATCACTAACTGAAAGCAGTATCGGACCCAAATTATATATTCCTTGTTATCTAAGATCTCTGCCGGATTCTTTATTTGATTTACTGTAGATACATGCATTTTAACGATGTGACGCTGATTAAGCTCTGTCTGAAGGCCGTCCTACACAGACATATCATACCAGTATACAGTATATGAACTGCCCTCTATCAGGGGCCAGGAAGGTGAGATCTTTTTTTTTCAAATTTATTAAATATCTTGTGAAACAATCTCTCTCTGGCCCTCTGTGTGGTAGAGGGTATATACGGTTTGTACTGTCTCCAAGGACAGGCACACCCTCTGTCCTCCCACCCCTGATAACACGATGTCATGGCATCTTCCCTTAACTCAAAGTAGCAAATTACTAATAATATTGATGATGTTAATCACGTGATGTATAAGACCCCCCCCCCCCCCCGAAACGTGTACAATATATACTATACGTTAACCTCTACTAGTATTAAATATAAACATGAACAGTATATGCAAATAGAGATTAATTCATTGCATAGTTGATGAAAATTATTCTCAAAATATATATTTTTCCTTATTCGGTAGATATATTATCTTACATTATTATCTTATATATTAGTTGAGAACCTCTCTCTCTCTCAATACATGTATAGCTTTTGTTTGGAAAGAATACTTATCCAAGATCGGAACGTGGTATAATCCAGGTTGTACCTTTGCAAGTATATAATTACCAATTAATTAAACTTAAGGGTTTTTTTTTACAATGTTGCAAACAAAATTGCACCGTCATCCTTAAGCTCTATGTTCACTGCTTGGGTGCCCTTCTGCTATCAAGACCGCGTAATGCATGTGCATACCCCGGTAAATATATGTTAAAATGATCGAGCCTGGATAAAATGAACTGAACAAGTTCAATTGTTCTTTTTCAATTTTAGGTAAAGATGATGCATTGGATTTAAGCTTTTGTCGCTGCATGACTCGCCCGATGAGGTTTTCCTGGCACCATTACAAGGTATTAGCCTGGCCTGGACATACAGCCGCGGATCTAGACACTGACTAGAAAGCGTTTCCTTAATGAAGGAACCGCAGTCAATCGTAATAAAGTCTCGTCTGCTACATGTCCTATAAAGGCACATTAGATGATATTACCTTAGCATCATTTTGCCATTTGGAGTATTCTGATTTGAAATTTTAAGTGGTAGGACATTGCGCGCTCAATGCTCCTCCCTATTTGGTGTACGTAAGGGCCCATTGACAACATTACCGAGGACCTTAATGTTGGTAATATCTGTGCTTTGACACCGCAACGGCCATATATATATTTAAAAACGATATCATTCGAAACTTTTCAGTACGTATTTTAAAAGCTTATTCACCACTGAAATTCCTAACACTCTACAAGAGGTTCTCCTAGCTGTTACAAAATTGCTCGAAGGACGTCAGCCGGTTTTGTAACAATTAGAAAGATCCTTCAGTGTGGAGAGTGGAAATTCCCCACCTTCCCAGAACCTTCCATGACATCCTGCTCCCGCACACGTGCACGCGTCACCTTGAGCATACAAACGGTAAAGTCCAGAAAGGCGAAATGATTTCAACCATTTAAAATCGTACCCCTTCCTATTTCAGTGCCATTTTTTCTCCGAAGGAAAATCACTCGTTCCTCTAAAGTGGAATTTGAACAATTTAAAAACCAAAACCCACCTCTTTTGACGCGTAACACTTGCTTGTACAATACGTAGAAAATATATACAGTAACCAACGACTTTATGGGAAGGTGATGACACATAGAATGGACTAAGGGTTTACTTCTAATTTAATTGAGGAAATGCGTAGTGAGATCTGCGAAAATGTCAGATGGTGGCTTAATAGTAATTATACAATATATGGACAAGTAATGGTGCGCAGTCATTTGGGGGGTGTATTTTTTCTTTCGGGGCGAATGCCTATTGTATTTGCTATTTGATTTGACAGGAAAGTTTTAACCAGGGTAGTAAAGTGTACACTTAAACTGAGAAGAGTTAATATCATGAATCTGAAAAAAAGAAGACCACCGCTATGACAAAATGATTTTCGAACTGCACATTTCGAACTTTTTGACACCTCATTTATTCCATAATGCCCTTTTAAGATTCAGTAAAAGTCATACTTTCAAGTTCATGTTTTTATATTAATCACGTATTTGACCTAAAAATGATCATTTTGTAAAATTTTATAAAAATCCATTTTTAACGCTACAATTGGAAAATTTTCAACCTTTTGGTCTTAAGGTTAATGAACTTATTATCACCATGATTATTGTTACGATAACAATCTTTCTCTTCACTGTATCTCTGCCTATGTTTTTTCACTTTCTTTGTATGTACATTCGTTATGGTTGAATGATAAACGTTTGATACACGAGTGCCATGAGGGCATAAGTGATGTGTATAAGTAGTCCTATACATTAAAAAACATGAATTTTATGTTAAACGGAATCAAGTAAAATTTCCAATTCATAGATAATATAATGGTTAGCAGGAGCATAGAACAACACGATGACGTATTAATGCATTAAGTTGAGGTCTCAATTATGATTGAGTCATTAGGAGAACGTTGCCTTAAGTTAACTTAGCGTGGTACTATACAATTAAGTTAAATGTCCTTGATGATGCAATGATTGGATACTCAAACAGATTTTAAATTAGTCTAACTAAAGAAAGATGTGTTTGTCGTAATAAAAGTAGACAAAGATAGCGGTAAAAACGGCCTTATTACTCATCGTCGTGGTGTGTGTGTTTGGATATGGTGAGAACACGCGACATTTGTCATGACGCCACGGATCAAAACAATGCCTACGATGATACCCGTCACATCAGTATGCCGCTGGTGACGGCCGTAACAAAGCGGGACTTCAGCTCAGTGGCCATTTATAAAAAAACTTTCTGGCACCGCAAGGCGACACAAGTCAGCATTGAAACCGTGTGTCCTCGCTCTTGAGGTGGCATGGCGCATTACCACGGACTTAATCACGACTGAAATACGACCCGTTAAGAGGTATCCTAGGGCTTAAGTGGTCAATTTGGCGTGATGGCCATTTCCCTGGTACATTACCCTCGCATTAACTATTTGGCATGAGTGAGATGTTCTAAAAATAGACACAGAGAAGTTCTCTATTTTTGCCAATGAGGTTTTTCCCAAACAATTTGGATTTTTTTCTGGGTTTAACGATAATAGAAGTGCCCATTGATTCTAGAGTCGCGACACCTACTCATTAGTAATAGCTGAGTGCCATACGATCCACAAGATGCCTAACATAATTTTGATGAAAAAAAGAAACAGAATAAACTGATTTCCATGGAAGAATATTACTATGATCCATCTCGAAAATGACGTTGAATTAGTTGATAAATTCAAAAATAAGTAAGGAAATAAAATAAAATAAACATCTCAAAATGCACATATGATGTCCACGCGAACTAAGTCCTTTTGTTTAAAAAAATGGGGAAATTCCAAAAATAGAAAAAGAAAAGCTAAAATCATTTCTAGTGACCCTGCAAAATATTTTAAACTTATAAATATAACTGATAATAAAGGGTAACAATGTAGTGCCACCAAACACCTCGGTAATCTGCATACGCATCACGGCCCACTGTCTGTATGAGGAAAACCTGTTAGAATTAATCTGTAAAGTGCTTAATGTTAACCGCCGCCCAGTCGTGTTATGAGTCAGAGCAGTGAAGATGTTTTACCAGTTCACCTGGCATGGTTTATGTGACCACACGATATGGCATATTAACAATATACACTAGATAGGTTTAATTATTCTGTTACCCCGGTGTTGAAGACCTCGCTGAGGATAATCTGTAACCCTCCCTGTATACCATTTAGCACACACTGTTTGTGCCATCATATAACATTAAGTATGAAGAATATTTTGAAGATATATCATACTGTATGATAAGGATGTCTTCATCATAATATGGTACTGGAGATAAATGATATTCTGTATTAATGAGTGATAAATCTGTCAGCGTTGTTTCCCCTCACTTCATTATAAACACAAAGTTCCTATGAACAAAGAGAAAACACTCAATTAAGAATAAAGAGTGTACTGGGAAGCTACTGAATCATTCATACTCATATACGCAGTCGGTATACAAACAAACACCCCACCGTTTGGACGTAAACTCTCTCTCTCTCTCTCTCTCCTGGTCCTGGTCAAGAAAATGCATTTACTGAGAAACATACATGCATGCCAAAACCTCACAAGCAATTGGCAGGGACAAAGTTTGATAGTGTGCGTGCAATGTTCACCTTTTTGGAAAGTATAAAGACGGTATAACATTCTTAAAAGTTCGTCTATATTGCTCAGGGTCCTTCTGCCTTATTTATGGTACCATTAACAAGGCGACAAGTCGTGTCGCACGCGTTCTTATCTCCAATTTAATTCGGTCAGTAAATTTCATGAAAAACGAGCTGCAGGTAAAAAGTGGCTGTGGAGGAAAAACTCTCGCCCATCTGATTACTGTAAAAAAACTCATTTTTACTGCGCTTATGTATTCCAATGAGTATTCCAATAAAGACAGCAAAGAATGGACACTGAAGTCGCGTAAAGATTATTCAGTATCCATTTCACGCTGATGTCCCCGTCGTAAAATTCCAGTCGTTTCGTCCACTTTTCTTCTTTCAGATGAGGTCAACTCACTGGCTCCCTCTTAAAACTGTTAGTAACAATACGTAACTTGATAAATGGTTTTCTTCAAATTGCTACTTCCTGGCGCAATGTTTCCAGAGAAGAGTTGACAATTTTCTGAAAGCAGCGCTCCTTAACTGTCTATTTGACGATCACTCTACCGTATAAAAGTTCCATTTGAGCTAGCACACTCGACTTCACTGTCTTTTAACTAGCGATCAAAATCAGTTAAAACCATCCCTAATTGAGATAAAATCTGGGTAATTGAGCTATAGGATTAATACTGTTTTTCTAAAAGTGCGGCATGTCATTTTGAATCTGTCATTGTAGACGGTACAGATTCGTCGGTAATCGATTTAGGGTACAGAATTGGTACACAAAATATTACATAAATATCAAGTTAAAATTCACCAGTAAGTTTTGTCTTTTCCTTGGCACCTTTAAAACACATTTTCACTAATGTCAAAGGTGACAATAAAATCATATCAAAGAACTGATAATAATAATTGATGACAGTTCAAAATACAGAATCAAAAAATTACAAAAATGACATAAAATGGCTTCACTTACTTCTGTGCCGCTCAGCGCAGTCTGTCTTCGCCAACTGCGACACCCCAAAAGATAGAACTTTTCTTCGGATATTTTAATTGCTCACAAGCACGAAGAGAATTGACGAAATATTCAAATCAAGCTTGTTTTAAATGCCAATTTATCCCGCGGTGTGCCTCCAGCCGTGTGCTCTCAGCAGACGACAGTTCAGAGCAGACGACACTTGCACCCCTGTGTTCATAGTAACGCATAATACTGTAGGAAATATTTACCTGGGCATAAATTTGGTCGCTTGTCGTGAGTCAGGAAGACAAAATGCCATGCAGCATGTAAATTACCATTTAACAGAGAAACGTATTCATTTCAATTTCAATTGGATGGGGGGGATAAACAATAGGCATTTACCAAATTATTAGAATAAAACAAAAACAAACAAAAATCACGACATCAAGACAGCCGTGTTGAAGTATGATGTAAATATACATAAATAAACACATACATGAAATTCTTCCCTCCCAATGTTGAGAATTTGTCTTTGAGAAAATTTTGAATTTATACCATCCCTCCCCCTCAAAAAAGAAATAATGGGTTTTCTGAAGCTGCGGTTCTTTCAGCATAATTTGTAATGATTTTAAAAGATATTATGTGGTGGGATCCGGAAGGATTTTAGTGATAGTAGATAACATTTTTAGAGTTTTGAAGAACAATAGTATGCCGGAACAGTTACAAATTTGGTTTTTTTCTATGAAGTCAACAACTTTCGTACAGTTACGAAATTGATGGTTGTCTATGAAGGCAACAACTATCACTGAACTTCATGTCAAAAATCCTTGTGAAGGAAAAATGGAAAAAGTTAAGACATTCTTATCTCATGTGAGCGAAACCCATTTTCCCCACACTTAAAGGAAGATTTCGTAACAAAAAAAGGTGCCGCAGTCAGTGTAGGGTTGTGATAATGGTTTCCGTGTCGTCTGCAATTTAGAAAGAGGAATTGACTTAAAGTAGCCTGGTAATAGAGTTGCAAGACCATAAAATACTGTAGAAATAGCGTATCTTGGTGAATATTTACAGTCCATACAACGACCACCTTAACTTTGCTCTGTTTGGAGATGCCGTTTATTATTCGAAAATAGCCAGTATCATATATATCAATGTCGTATATTAGGATAATCAACAAACAATAAATTAACACACCGGTACCTTCATTTTAAGCATGACAATATCAGCAACAGCAATTGTTTTTGCATGTTAATACAAGCTATACAAAATCATATGCAATATGTCTCCTTTACTGTAGATGAGTAGATGACTTGCAAACATGCGATAACAGCATTTGGATATCGATTCCACGTCACCAGTGGACGATAACGGGTGCAATGGCGGGGAACAATACGACCACATCGTCGACCATTGACAGGCACTGGTCTCTAGAAACCTTTGTGGGTTGCACAACCGTGGGTGGCAAAACGTCTTTTTTACTGATAACATAACCATAAGCGTGTTGTTGCTAAAAATTAATTTAATGTAGCCCAATGTAAAATATCCTATTCTGATTACACCTTGGTTTGTTAACGATTCATATTAAATTTAAAACCGCAAAATGTGTTCCTTAAAGATGGGTGAAAAAAACGCCAATTTCTAGGTGGTTTTTATCAAACTGAAATTAATTTTCATCTACCACATGAAAAGATCGTGGAGTATATTTCGGGATGCCGTTGGCCTTGATGATCATTGAGTAATAAACGGACGACTCCTTGGGCGTTCTCGGACGCTGAGGATCGCTGAAATTCACGTGGTACATGCCGAACTTTTCCGAGTATCCCCGAGACCACTCGAAGTTGTCCATCACCGACCAGGCAGTGTATCCTATCACGTTGCATTTATCCTTAACTACCGCTGGAATGAAAATGTGTTAGTTGAGATAGTGAAATTGTGTTAGTTGTGACAGATGAATTGCAACAGATGTAACACTGTCAACTGATGATGTTCGATAAGTAATACTAAACCACCACTGTCTCAACACAGATTTCACTCACAATTAAGCGTATTCACTTAGGCCTAGATAATCGCCGATAAAGGTACCGTCCGTGTGATAAGGAAATCACACTTGCTGACTTACATAATATTACTTTAGGGCGTGACCCTCAGCCCTCAAACACTCTACTATCTTAGGGTGCGTTTAGAATGAAACTATTGCACCAGGTAGTCCGAACCAACTCCACGGGGCCTCTCTCTTAATGCAATCAGATTAAGACGCCTCTTAATTGTTTCCAACACATTATTATAATCACTAACTTTTCTGTATTCTACTCAACGCCGCGTCTCGATAGTCCGAAGGTTCTTTGGTCCGAAGGTTCGTTGGTCCGAAAAATCATAGCATTTTCATCAGTTTTTCAATCAAGGGTTCTTTGGTCCGAAGGTTCTTTAGTGAACGGCCCCCAACGCCAGGAGGATGCGTATAGGCCTATTAACCTGTTAATCCGCTTGTGTTAAACACAGGTCCCCAAGGAGTTATTTCGAACTACACAGTGCAATAAATTTATTGAGAACGCACTCTTTTTGTTACATATGTGAAAATAAAGTCAAAGCCTTAAACTGTTTACATAGAGACACGCCTAACTTTTTTACATTGTCATTTAGTCGTCTGATATCTGTCCTTACCGTCAATCATGTTACTAATGTATCCGCGGTAGTAACCTATCCTCCAGTAATCCCGGTATATTCCAGGGATGGTGGTGTTCCTGTCCGAGATGCCGTTCTCCGTGATGATCACGGGGGGGTTGGAGTACTGTTGCTTGATCCAGTTCAAAATCCGCCGCATGCCCCACGGCACCACCGTCAGCCAAGACGAGCCAGATCTGAAGATAGGCCAAGAAAATGTCATTCAGATATATGACGGTTTTGACCTAAGACTTTTAAAGCGATTGCTATTGCCACTGACGTCCGTTTGATAATTACTGAAAATAAAGATTATAGGACTGTTTTCACAAAAAAACTGATATTACTTATAAAACTGATGGTACTAGTTCTGCTAAAATCAACAGCCACAAAATCCTTACAAAATCCTCATCATACTAAAGAACACTACGGCCACAGTTTTCCATACGCACGTTTTCCATTTCGGGTCTTTAGAAGAGGCCACTCCAATGTCTTGGAAGTAGCCGGCGCCGGTGGTTTTGGCCCCCGTGATCAAGTTGGTACTGTAGGTATTTAGGCCGAAAAAGTCAAAGGTACCTAAAGGGACAATGAATAATTTTGCATTTGATAATAATTTGAACAAACTTTTTACATGTACGTGCTTGCCTCTTTATCATCATAGCGATCAATTAGAATGCTTGTGAAGTTTTTTGATAATAAACATGACAATATGCCATAACTGCGAATATTTTCAAACCTTTTATCCTTGCTTTCTCGTCGTCAGTGAACTCGGGTAACCTGGACTGGTTAAGGTTTTCTGCCTTACTCCTATTTCCCACGGTCCATTTCATGACATCCGGGTAATCACCGTTGGCGTAGACGGGGTGTGCGAACCAGCCAAGGGAGAACTGCTGGCTCCTCTCTGCGGCCTCGGCGTCCTCAGCCGTCTTCGTCTTTGGCTCAGACCAGTCCGAGTTTAACGTGATCGAGATTTTACCTAGAGAGTATTTAAAGTGTAATTTAAAAATGCATCTATTACCAATGAATTTACTTTTAAAGGTTTGGAACAACAGATGATGTTCACATATTTTCAGTAAAGTCGCAAGTCTTAGATTTGATTCATGAGCAACATTATGTCATCTGAAAAATAAGGTGCTCTACAAAAATCTTAATCCATTCTTCTTCTAAAGTCCTTTCCTGTGCCTCTACACATCACGTAAAACAAGATCACATACAAGACCTAAACGAAGTTTTTTATCAACTGGTACCTGATTTGTCTGTATTGTATTTCTCATGGTACATGTGATACACCTCGGCATGCGCTTTTAGAATGGTGTGAGCGGCCCTGTAGGCCCCGGTTCCCGCCAGTTTAATACCCGGCGCCATTTGTCCCACCTCATAACCCAGCACAGATACACACCACGGCTCGTTAAATGTCAGCCAGTGTTTGACCTGTAAAAATGAAACAAAATGTCACATTTCTCTTTCTAGCAATCCAGTGGCATATTTAGGGGGGGGGGGGGGGGGGGGTCAGGGGATTCCTGACCCACCACCCTCGATTTCTGGTCCGCTCTTGAAATGAGAATTTTGACTAGCTGAATCATAAATCGTACAAAATGGCAACGTTCGCCCTCTAAAATACAAAAATTATTCGGGGCCCGCTGGACCCCACTCCAAGTGTTGGGAGGAGGGGGGAAGGAGGGTCGGCTTCGCATCCACGGATCCCTTCTTCAAATAATCCTAGATCCGCCCCTGCAATCCTATTAAGGTTACGATAAAATGCACTTATTCAACGGCCATTTTGATTCTGAGATTTATTAGATTTAAACCTTAGTGTGGATCAAATTGACCAGAAGTATGTGACTTAGCCAACCTCAAACAATATTTCTAATAATTTTTATACCTGGTCGCCAAAGGTTTTAAAGCAAACTTCGGCGTAGTCCTTGAACAGCGGAATAATGGACTCGTTGAGCCAGCCGCCATACTTGTCCTGTAGTGTTTTGGGCAGGTCCCAGTGGTAGAGTGTTATCAGTGGGATAATACCATTGTCCTTCAGAGCTTTGATGATGTTCATGTAGTAAGCAACGGCCTTAGTGTTCAACGAACCCTTGGTCCCGTCCGGCAGAAGTCTTGGCCAAGACAAGGAAAAGCGGTAGTGCTTGACCTAAAGTTAAGAAAACGCGTAGTAAAACATGTACTGGAGACGGCAGAGACATGTTGATAATGTATGGAGGTTTATTTCCAGTTATCTCTGAAACTCGGGGTGTATCCAGTGCAGGGAGGGGGCAAAAATAGCTTTAGATTACAAAAATAAAATTAGTAGGTTTGTTCACAAAATGACCTTGTAACTCAATAAAATCGCTCATCAAACGAACCGATTTTAACGATATTAGGATTTTTCCTAAAATTTGAATGTGACATGACGTGCTATTGCTACAAGTTAATATCAACCAGTTTTAGTTCATTGCGGATCATGAAATGAATCATATCGTTGCAATTAGCGTGCATTATCGAAGAATGACGTAGATACGCTATAAATGTAGCTTTTTATCGAAATCGTAGCTGGATACATATATCTGTACAGATAATAAAGCTAAATGTCATCACTTATCATATCAAAACAGGCTATGTCATTTACATTATTACTAATTCTAGCCATTTGATCCCATTGTTTTTAAATTGCATTCTACTGACTCTCACAAAAATACGAATGTGGGATGTAAGAATTTTACGTCATTACCCGCATAAGTTTCAGTATTTCCATATCTTCTTGCCATTTGTGGTAGCTGTCACAAGCCACATCGCCATTGGAACCGTCGTCAATATTACCGGGCTTATGAGAGTACTCATCCCAAATACTGGGGCCCTTACCTAGAAGACAAGGTGAAATCGACCGACCAATTAGTCAAATGACTAATAAACCATGAACCGTCACCACCAACCAAATAGATAAATAAATAGATAAATAAGTGAATAAATACAAACAAATATGCGAATAAATGTAAAAATTAACAAATAGATGAACACCATCTAACAAAAAGATAAGTTCATGATACGTGCCAATAAATAGACGAATACATACAAATGAAATTAACTGAATACAAAGTTAATCACATAAAACGTCTTCTGATGTTTTGCAATTATTAAAACTGATGACAGCAGAGTAACGAACTCACCGTCTTCCTTCCAAGCGCCCTCTATCTGGTAGGCGGCAGTGGCCACGCCCCACAAGAAATCTGAAGGGAGTCCGCTGGCTGACGGCCCCTCTCCCCGAGGCTGGGGCAAACACACCGTCAAGGTAGAACACAGTGCCACACTAAGCAGAAGACTCGGTATTACGTCCATGGTGTTCCGCTTGATGTACTCTGTTAGGCAAAGTGACATTCCTTTAAATACATTGTCCTAGGCCAAGGTGAATGACATCAGGTTTTACGGACCCGCTGACATTACTATAGTTATACAATAAAATACATGCTGTCTACGCCCATATTAATGCTGGTGAATTTTCCATTTGAAGCAAAGAAAAATGCATCCTCAATGACAATTAAAAAATATTGATTATGCATCAGAAGATTTACATGATCGATTAAGATTTCTTTTGTTCAAATATTGCTGTCGCTTGCGCTTTATAAAATCGCTCAAGCACACACGCACACACACTTGCACCCTTCCGCATACAAAACACATGCACACACTGGATAGACGAAAAAAAATTATTAAAAAATGAAAATCATTGACTTCGCTTTTTGCTAGAAAAAAATGGGTTTAAGTAGGATGCATTGTTCTCATTGCAGATTTCGTTAAATAATGTTTAAAACGAACGAGTAAATCTAGCGAACGAAACTAAAACGTCAACTGTCAGATAAGGTTCTGTCACACCTAGTCTCGCAAATTCTTCCCATACGCCATATAATGATGTCATGACAACGGTTCATATGTGACAGAAATGGTAGCTCGCTAGGGACCGTTGTCCGTTCCCCATTACTTTGTACAGGTGACATCCGTCCCATATACTAACCCCAATACTCCGACTAGCCATAACCTGTACTAATCTTTGGGACGCAGGACTTAATTTTTAGAACTACCATTCATGTCAAACTGGGTCCAGTAATCAAAAGTTTAAAAACGGCTGGCCTTTCCAGTCATCAGCAGGAGCTAGCTTGGTGTTTTGTTGTACAGTATTTAATGCTGTCTNATTTATTACCAATGAATTTACTTTTAAAGGTTTGGAACAACAGATGATGTTCACATATTTTCAGTAAAGTCGCAAGTCTTAGATTTGATTCATGAGCAACATTATGTTATCTGAAAAATAAGGTGCTCTACAAAAATCTTAATCCATTCTTCTTCTAAAGTCCTTTCCTGTGCCTCTACACATCACGTAAAACAAGATCATATACAAGACCTAAACGAAGTTTTTTATCAACTGGTACCTGATTTGTCTGTATTGTATTTCTCATGGTACATGTGGTACACCTCGGCATGCGCTTTTAGAATGGTGTGAGCGGCCCTGTAGGCCCCGGTTCCCGCCAGTTTAATACCCGGCGCCATTTGTCCCACCTCATAACCCAGCACAGATACACACCACGGCTCGTTAAATGTCAGCCAGTGTTTGACCTGTAAAAGTAAAACAAAATGTCACATTTCTCTTACTAGCAATCCAGTGGCAGATTTAGAGGGGGAGGGTCAGGGTATTCCTGACCCCAGCTCGATTTCTGGTCCCCTCTTGAAATGAGAATTTTGAGTATAGCTGAATCATAAACCGTACAAAATGGCACCGTTCGCCCTCTAAAATACAAAATTTTTTCGCCTTCCCCCCCGAACCCCACTGCAAGTGTTGGGAGGAGGGGGGAGGGAGGGTCGGCTTCGCATCCATGGACCCCCTCTTCAAATAATCCTAGATCCGCCCCTGCAATCCTATTAAGGTTACGATAAAATGCATTTATTCGACGGCCATTTTGATACTGAGATTTATTAGATTTAAACCTTAGTGTGGATCAAATTGACTAGAAGTATGTGACTTAGCCAACCTCAAACAATATTTCTAATAATGTTTATACCTGGTCGCCAAAGGTTTTAAAGCAAACTTCGGCGTAGTCCTTGAACAGCGGAATAATGGACTCGTTGAGCCAGCCGCCATACTTGTCCTGTAGTGTTTTGGGCAGGTCCCAGTGGTAGAGTGTTATCAGTGGTATAATACCATTGTCCTTCAGGGCTTTGATGATGTTCATGTAGTAAGCAACGGCCTTGGTGTTCAACGAACCCTTGGTCCCGTCCGGCAGAAGTCTTGGCCAAGACAAGGAGAAGCGGTAGTGCTTGACCTAAAGTTAAGAAAACGCGTAGTAAAACATGTACGATCGCCCTGAGTTTCCTGTTACTGGAGACGGCAGAGGCATGTTGATAATGTATGGAGGTTTATTTCCAGTTATCTCTGAAACTCGGGGTGTATCCAGTGCAGGGAGGGGGCAAAAATAGCTTTAGATTACAAAAATAAAATTAGTAGGTTTGTTCACAAAACGACTTTGTAAGTTAATAATATCGCTTATCACACGAACCGATTTTGACGATATTAAGATTTTTCCTAAAATTGAATATGACATGACCTGTTATTGCTACAAGTTAATATCAACCAATTTAGTTCATTGCGGATCATGAAATGAATCATATCTTTGCAATAAGCGTGCTTTATCGAAGAATGACGTAGATACGCTATAAATGTAGCTTTTTATCGAAATCATAGCTGGATACATATTTCTGTACAGATAACAAAGCTAAATGTCATCACTAATATTAAAACAGGCTATGTCATTTACATTATTACTAATTCTAGCCATTTGATCCCATTGTTTTTAAATTGCATTCTACTGACTCTCACAAAAATACGAATGTGGGATATAAGAATTTAACGTCATTACCCGCATAAGTTTTAGTATTTCCATATCTTCTTGCCATTTGTGGTAGCTGTCACAAGCCACATCGCCATTGGAACCGTCGTCAATATTACCGGGCTGATGAGAGTACTCATCCCAAATACTGGGGCCTTTACCTAGAAGACAAGGTGAAATCGACCGACCAATTAGTCAAATGACTATTAAACCATGAACCGTCACCACCAACCAAATAGATAAATAAGTGAATAAATACAAACAAATATGTGAATAAATGTAAAAATTAACAAATAGATGAACACCATCTAACAAAAAGATAAGTTCATGATACGTGCCAATAAATAGATGCACACATACAAATGAAATTCTGAATACAAAGTTAATCACATAAAAAGTCTTCTGATGTTTTGCAATTATTAAAACTAATGACAGCAGAGTAACGAACTCACCGTCTTCCTTCCAAGCGCCCTCTATCTGGTAGGCGGCAGTGGCCACGCCCCACAAGAAATCTGAAGGGAGTCCGCTGGCTGACGGCCCCTCCCCCCGAGGCTGGGGCAAACACACCGTCAAGGTAGAACACAGTGCCACACTAAGCAGAAGACTCGGTATTACGTCCATGGTGTTCCGCTTGCTGTACTCTGTTAGGCAAAGTGACATTCCTTTAAATACATTGTCCTAGGCCAAGGTGAATGACATCAGGTTTTACGGACCCGCTGACATTACTATAGTTATACAATAAAATACATGCTGTCTACGCCCATATTAATGCTGGTGAATTTTCCATTTGAAGCAAAGAAAAATGCATCCTCAATGACAATTAAAAAATATTGATTATGCATCAGATTTACATGATCGATTAAGATTTCTTTTGTTCAAATATTGCTGGCGCTTGCGCTTTATAAAATAGCTCAAGCACACATGCACACACACTCGCACCCTTCCGCATACAAAACACATGCACACACTGGATAGACGAAAAAGCAAATAAATAAATAAATAAATAAATAAATAAATAAATAAATAAAATAGAATAAAATAAAATAAAATAAAAAAAAATTATTAAAAAATGAAAATCATTGACTTCGCTTTTTGCTAGAAAAAATGGGTTTAGTAGGATGCATGGTTCTCATTGCAGATTTCGTTAAATAATGTTTAAAACGAACGAGTAAATCTAGCGAACGAAACTAAAACGTCAACTGTCAGATAAGGTTCTGTCACACGTAGTCTCGCAAACCCCTTGCGTTTGTGTGCGTATGGACAATTCTTCCCACATACTGCTTCCCATACGCCATATAATGATGTCATGACAACGGTTCATATGTGACAGGAATGGTAGCTCGCTAGGGACCGTTGTCCGTTCCCCATTACTTTGTACAGGTGACATCCGTCCCATATACTAACCCCAATACTCCGACTAGCCATAACCTGTACTAATCTTTGGGACACAGGACTTAATTTTTAGAACTACCATTCATGTCAAACTGGGTCTAGTAATCAAAAGTTTAAAAACGGCTGGCCTTTCCAGTCAATCAGCAGGAGCTAGCTTGGTGTTTTGTTGTACAGTATTTAATCTCAGGGCGCTCGTGGGACTTAGCAAATTGCCTTTTGCATAATAATTGTCTTTTTATGCCCCTCCTTTCCTATATTGGGCCCTTGCTTCTCAAGACTGTTCATATGTTCATAAAGTACCCGGGGCAAGTCCGCAGTCGACATTGGAAAGTGTAAAGACTACTCAAAACTAAAACCGCCGAGGTGTGAACAGCTGTGGACGTCATCGCGCTCTACAACGTCAAAGGTGAAACCGAACGTTATCTCAGTGCAAAACCAAAAGAGAATAAAAACATCCGAATTCATCTTACAAGGAACGTACAGAGCATCACTAGCAATGAATACGACCCAACTTGTTTTGATTCTGTAGCTTTTCCGGCATAACAGCACGTCATACCACCTGTTAACCGTGTTCGGTAGAAAAACGATATCTCCTCGGCGGAATTATTTGCCAAATGTGTTTTCTTCAAAATTCCCTTGACTACAATCGCACCAGTAATTGAACACTTGGATGTGTTTTTTTTTTTTTTTAATTTATTCTCTCCTCTTATGGTCTCGCTAAAAGTAAACCCCGCCTTTTGTGAACCGCCTCTGATCCCACTGTACTCTTGAATATCATGGGTAAAGCCAAAATCAATCTTAGTATAAAACCAAGTTCGAGCTCCGAGTCGGGTTGTCAAACACGACTTCGTGTACACCATGAACTTTACCGTTCATGTCGGGGACTGGGGTTGAGTGGTCTGAAATGCGGCACCCGGATTATGGATTGGGACAGCAGGTCTACACATGTACTTCCAATCTGGCGCTCTCCGTGACGAGGTTGAAAGTTTCCATCTGATCACTCGATATCAGCGGAGCTGTCGTGGCTGCGTGGTAACTCTGCTGTCTTGCAAACAGGCACCCACCCGGACGCTGGTTCGAGTCACAGCAGCTGCTGTGTCATTTTTTTCGCCAGAGTTAATTTTTAGAAATTGCGATTGATTACTATAAGAGGAAACTCGCACGTACGGAGGGTGGGCGGGTCAGTCACGGAGCAGTCGGTAGCGTGCAGGGATGCAAATGAGACATCCAAAGCGTCTTCAACCTTGGTAACGCTAAGTCACGGGTTCGAGTCCCGGATGAGGCACGTCAGTCCGTCACTACAACGACCTGGCCCCTGAATCGGGATGTCACGAGACGAGAACGAATGAGGGCGCTCGTGGGACTTAGCAACTTACCTTTTGCATAATAATACGGTATACTTTAGAAAGTTTGCATCTGCGTTGGCAATTGTATTTTCTTTCTCTTCAGTTAGAAGTCCTTATAGGTATTGCTGCCACAGATCTGGAACTTAAAGGATTTGCGTCATACCGTCAGAATGGCCTCAACGGAACATATTCTTCAGAAAACATGCCCAACTAACGATATCTTTATCCAAATATACAAATTAATAGCTCATTTTGTAAATTTTTGGCTTTAAAAAACGACCTATTTGCTCGGCCTGGGAGTTAATGAGCTACGTGGTCACGTGGTCCGATGACGACAATCGTGCCACCGGAGAACAGAACGTGCTTAGCTGTCAAACTGAGCTGCATTGCCTACCTGTAAGATGACTTCTCTGGCTTCTGATAAAAGTTTATACTCATTCAGATCTCTTTCCCGAGGGGTCTAAATCCTCGTGAAGTTGTGTAAAACCATTTCCCGTCTAGTGAATTCTTTAACAAGCATTTAATTATGGTTATCCCAAGTTGTATAAAACACTGCCTTTGAATGAGTTAAGGGTACTGTTGATTATTGCATATGAGGTCCATGTTATTTGTGAAATTCAATTTATTTCATTAAACCGCTGACATTCTGTCTTGCATACTTTTATTAAACTGAGGTAAACAATGCCCGTTACCTTTACAAGTCCTATCTTAATCATCCATCTAACTGGAACTTCCTTTACCTCTTAATTAGAGGGTTAAATGGCATTCAATTCTCCTGTAGCGAGTATCGAACGCACTCTCACAGGCGATATTTATCTCAGGTAAAAATCTACCTGTGCGTTAGTTTCAAAGAGCAGCTTCCGCAGACCTGGGGGTACTAGATAAAATCTGAACACCAGGTTTATCGAGGAGCTAGAGAAACAAAGGAAGAATTTTTCCTGCTCAGCTTCATAGGAATTTTAACATGGACTTGATCCAGCTTAGACCTCCAAACTAACAGGGTGACATGAGCAATTTTCACAAACAAATAATAAAACTATATTTACATTAGCCTCCTTTTAAATAAATATACCGTTCTGGGTAAATTAGAATATTTGTTAAATCGCGAGAATATTTTTGACTTAACTGATGATTTTATTATCAATGGGAATTAAGCTACTATATGAGGTACATTTGCTGTGATTACGCAGTCCTTTATGTTTTGCGTTAGTCTACATTTTGCTGTACGTGCTTGTAATTTTTTTTAATCTGTGCGTACAAATTTTGCAGGTCTGGTTACGCCCCTGTTTATCACCTGTCAAACTGTATCGGTATAGCTTATTCGGGTAAAGCATACCGCTTGATATGTAAAGGATCCAACGTAACCTGAATTTTCCCCAGTTAAACTTTATTATGCAGTACAGAAAAAAATGACCAAGGCAAAAAGACTTAGATCTGACACACTTTCTAATGTCACAACTGGAAAATAAGTCTGATTCTAGACTTATGAGATAGTAATGCAACGATCCGGAGTTGCACTTGATTTATTTTCTCCCCCATGATGTCATTATATGGATGAAGCAGAGCATTCACTCTCTCAATTTAATTTTTTTCAAATGCATTGCTTAGATAAATGAATATAATTATATGTCGTGTTTCTTTCATTGCAGTGGGTTGTCCACTCATTATAAAACCAGATCATATATTAGCCTTTGTTAACATAACCAAAGGTCCGGGAAATGGTCATTTTCTATGAAGGATATCTATCTGATTCAATATAGAAAAAAGACTGAGGCATAAAGAGTTTGCTCTCAAAGACTTTCAAAATGTCCTTTTATCGTAGAATGCATCGTTTCTGTCAGCGGATATTATCTTCTACTGAGTTTCTCAATTTGTGCTGGGTCGTTTTCTAGCTTTAATGTCGTAGATTTGATGTTATAAGCACGCATTGCATCCTGATAGATGCTCACTTGCTTGAGGAACATTAAGTTTGAAAATTTTGAACAATTTACTGTAGAACTTTTGTAAAAGCACCCTTCGGAATACCTAATAATATAAAATATTGGCGTTTTTATTTTTTCGTTGCATTGTACAAGCATAGGCAACTCAAAAATTTAATCGTCTGTTTAACACCTTTCTATTTTGAGGTGAGATAAGAAATCGGTACGGAGTCTAACTTCATCCCTGAACAAGATTTTATCACAAAAATTGCCATGGTGGACTGCAAGAGTATGAGCTACAATCCTGTGCCAGCGTTTTGGTTAGAATGCTTTTGTTATGAGTTATGAGCCCGTAATTATAGATTTTCATTAAACAAAGGTATTATTTGCTTTATCAACGATAACATCTAAGACTTTTAAGAAAAATCGCTGCAGGGTTTTGGAGTAATAAATGGTGTCAATAAATCGGCGTTGAAATGGTGATCTTGGGTGCTTAGGTAAAAGAGAATTTTGAGAAACCGATTTTTCAGTTTTTAACCCAAAATCGCAATTATGACGTCACCCGTAAGATGACATATGTGTAAAAGTTACTTAATTTAGTCACTGATCACTAAAGATATATTTCTTACCCAAAAGAATGCATGTAAGGCAGTAAATAAGGAGTTTTGGGTGAAGGGTGACAATAGCCTTAACACTCATGTTAGTCCATGCTTTAAATTATAAGAAAAACCATATGCTATACTAAGCAGCTTTGAAACAAAAGTTAAGACCTTACAAAATAACCTCTAAATAAGAAGAATATTATTCACATTTTACATAAATTGTTTACAGAGTTTATACAATTGTTCTCTCAAAGCATAAGGCAGTGGCACTTACCAAAGGTGCTCAGCAATCAAGCAAGTTTTCCTATATGTTGTGATATTATAGATCGGCTACCTTAAAAAAATGCATCTTTTTTCAGGAAGCGGTTGTCTGTACGAGTGTTAATGATGTCGGACGTGAGTCCTTTTCAGCATAACCGTATGCAGGCTCAAAAAAGAAAGAGCAAATGAAATGTTTCGACCCAGTATAATCTGACTTTCATCTACTGGTACAATAGTTTTTTTTAGTTTGCATTAAGCTTTTAGTTAACAAAACTGTAACAAGAACACTATGTGGCTACGATGGATACATCTACATGTACCTTCAAAATGACTGTACGCAATACCAGTTGTGATATATTTGAAAATGTAATAGGCCTAATTCAGAATAAGGGACAAATAGTCCGAGGGGCCACCTCTACCCCCTTATCACAGTTCACGGACAAGTTGCACGTATTCACGTCTTAAAGGTTTAAACTTTCGGCCAATCAGTGTAAAGGTGGTGGTCACCTGTCTGGGGTAATAACTAAGCGCAGAATGATAACCTGGGTTCATTTCCTCAAATTTTGTGTAGGTAAAATGTATTTGCAGCCATTGTACTTGCATACCAAAAAAAAAAAAAAAAAAAAAAACAATAAAAATATATAAAATACTGATCGGTAACTTTGCGCCAATTTGTGCATAAACGTGTGCTGAAAATACGAAAAAATAGCATAACCTCTGGAAAGTGGTGATTTGCTGTTTTGAAAATTCGACCTGTATTTTATAAATATTCATCGGTTCTGTGGGTTTAGAGACATTATGTCAAACGGTTTGTACTTATCGTGTTATCTTCGAGAGTGACGACGACAGGCACAGGTGATATCATAAAAGATATCATAAAAAGGAAACCAGAAAAAAAACTGCCGTCGGGTATTATTGATTGGTTAGCCTATCGTTATATTTGATACCAACGTCTTCAAATCTCAAGAAATTCACACACGTTAACAATCCCGATCTCGTCGGGGGTCCCCCGATTTTGGACTATATTTCCGACCTCCCGATTCAGACTAAGAATCTCCTGATTTATCAGACTTTTCTCCCGTTCCTTTTCCATCTTTTTATGACACTAAAAACATGTTCTACACTTGTTGACTCTTGATGAAACTTAACTTACACTCAGTAACTCCCTATCCTTTTACTCGTTTGATTCCGTTTTAATTATTATCTGTAATTAGTGGAAGTGTAAGTCATTTGCTTTACAACAAAATGTGTCGCTCTATCCCCAACTTTAAACACTCAGGTAAATGCACCTGGAAACTTTATTAATAAAAATGTGCCGTCATTTTATTGTTTTCTCATTTTAATTGATAGTAGTAATTGCAATGAGGAGTAAATGGCAAAGATAAAACTGCCACGAGTATTTTGTGAATATCACCTAAAACACTTTTTCGTTAGAGCCACCGTAGAAAAGAACCGAGATACCGATAATTTAAACCGCTGCTGCGGGGTTGGTACACGTAGACTTCCTCAGTGAACATTTGAATGGACCCCTCTCTAGCTGACACAACTTGAGAAATGTCATTGTAATTTTCGTTCAGATTTTGAAATGTTTGAAGGACAATATTGTAATCTGACATTTTTAAATTTAAGAAAAATTTGAATTATTGATTAAAACAGGCTGTTATTATTATTAACTTGTAAAACTGCTGATGATATTCTAAGAGACTATTACTTAGAGACCAGTTATTACACTGAACTTCTGTTATACATTCGTGCACCATATCAAGACTAGTTTTCATTTTAAAAAAATCAGCTGTCAATTCACCATTTTCGAGTTAACATATTGTAAACTTGTGAATAAAAGCTGGCATAAATGTGAGCCAAAACCACGTGGCTAATATCCGATTTTACAAATCCCCATAACAATCTGATTTGTATGTCAAAAACATGTCGTAACAATCAAAACAACATAGCCTCCATCTCGCTTGTAATACTTGGGTTTAATGAAAAAAAAAGCCAAGACTAACATGTTTTCGACGTAGAAAGTAAACTCAAAAATCATGTGTAAAATTCGTGTACTGTCAGCAAACTCGTTCTCACAGCACGCCAGCACGCAAAAATCTTATAAAATCTCTCTGTATACCTATTTCATGGGTTATGGGCAGGTATTTTGTGATTGGCTCGTTTCTGTTAAGTCATGTTGTTTTAACATAATTAGGGTTCTTTTGTTTTTAGCTCTCTACTGATAAGGACCAGTGATATTGCTGGAAATCGTCACGCCCCCACACGTTTCATTTCCATCGCAGTTATACCACCATAAATATGGTGTAAGAAAGGCTTGAACACACCGACTCGCAAATACGTAGACTCCATTTGAAAAGGGAGGGGGTGTTAACTAAGACAAAATGCTTTATGCCTTAGTGAAAATATCGGCAACATGTCGATCTGACCGCTAGAGATTGATAGGAAGCTTGGAAACTTGTCACGCACTTTAATTTTTTTTATGTCCGTATACCAATCAATGGTTTTGTGCTTTTCGAGGGACCTCCAATCAACCTGTTGAAAACGCTGAATTGTCTTTCAATTAAGATAACATGCTATATCAGAACATATAAAATAATCACTGAGGGGCTGAATAGTTTTAATCAAATATCTCAAAACGTTATATGCAACGGCAACATTTTATTCATTCAATTTCAAATACACGCGATATAATCCGTTATTTTGCCGCAGAGCTGCATTCTCTTCGAATGGATATCTTCTTCAGCTGAAAAAAAACATAGATTGGAAATTATCATATCAAAAATAATGAGGACAACAAAATTAACTGGGTGACTTTATTATCTTTGTTAACAAGCAATACCTAGATATAAATTCAACTGAAGATATCATTCATTACATGATATAAGATTTTTTCACGAAAACAAACCTTATTTCGAAACAGTAAGCAAAACGTACTCCTTTATGAGGTCTGCGTAATATATGCTCTCCTTTTTGTGCTTAGAGAACTTTGCAAGGTATAATAAAGATACTAAGCCCAAGAAACCCTTAGGTCCATTTATCATCAGCTCGTAAGATAAGAAAATGTAACCTACATTTAATTAGTGCAAATGCAAGTACTCCTTTCACAATAGCCAGTCCTTTTGCCATGGCCCTTGCAGTGGAGCGCACAAGCAACGGTAGCAGCTCCACTTCCAAAGTACGCTATAAAGTCGCAGGTGAAACGTTTAACACGACTAACATCATCCGACACAGGCAATGCACAGACAGCATCTAGAATAAAATAATATGTCTCGTTTGCGCAGCGATATTTGCATGGACGTTGAACATTTCAAGCTTATTGCTTACATCTACAAATTACTCTTCCTTTACGTATAGTGAGTGTTGTGCAAAGCAATCTTCAACTACCGGTAGTTTAGAAAGTATATTAAAACCTACTAGCATGAAGGGTACTCCATTTAGAAATGGAAACTGGCTTTGGGTGTACGATGGTCTTGAAAATACTGCCTTTTAAAACGATATGATATATAAATGTAGAATAATTTAAATTGACAAGCGTAAAATAAAAAAAAATAAACATTTTAAAACCACAGAAATCATGTGTTACCCATTGTAAAAATCACCAGGCACACCAGCAGGAAAAGGTATTGGCGTTTCATTGTAGATTGTCGCACGTGGGTATACAGCAACTGTAACGTAATACGTGTATATATGCAATTAACGCCATAAACTGATTTTACCTTTAATAAATCCATTCATTTCTTCCTTACATTTCCGTAAATCATTTCAATGTGTGAAAGTTTCCAGCTTTGCATGCAATTTGGGATACCATGGTGCCAAGCTTTAGGAACTGAGGGAGTTAATTGGTCATTGTCAGCAACTGCTCCACTCACAGTGCATCCAACAAAGAAATACATGTAGTTTCTATAATATGACTGGTGGCGCTTTGATTGAACAAAACATTAATGATTTACTCTCTCCTTTCTCCTCCATGTCAAAACTACATGCAATCCCATTATACAGTATGCAAAGTGTCCGTCTTACGTGTTAGATGAGGGGAGACCGGGGCTAGTTGGACCCCGGGGTAAGTTGGCCCCCCGTCAATTTATGAAAAAGTAACTACGAGGTAAAAAAATTGACCACATGCTCTTGCAAAGTGACCGTAGCCTTAAATGCTAAGGAAGTGTCGGACGTTAAAAAGTTTTACTTAAGCGGTGAGTCGAAATAAACGATTTTTGCACCTAAAAGTAATTTTAAGAGATTAAAAAATTTATTTTCATGGGCTTTTGATCGAATATAATATATGTATAGGGCATCAAACAGAAGTTCAAGTTTCACAGAGATGCATCATCGTTGCTCATTCTAGCACCATAAATGACTGCCATCCTTTAAAATAAAAGATTTGCACCCGTGGCTAGTTGGCACCCTTGACTCGGGGCAAGTTGGACCCTCATATTACCAACAAACCTTTGCGCCCAACAGAGCTAGAGACCATTGTTGAAACAAACTCAATGGTTTAAAACTGAATTTGCTACTTTCTTTTAAAACGAAAAATTATTATTCGTTTACATTCATTAAAAACATGCTTTATACCATTATTAATTTATTCTTAATTAAAACAAAACAAATTTTATTGATAGATATTTTGGTTCTTGCAACACATAGCCCCCCCCACC